ATATATATATATATATATATAAGCACTAAGCTAAGCTCTGAGGCAACAATATAATTTCCCATATTAAGACTACAAAAGACACTATTCCTGGAATCCCAACTTTCAACATATCTAGAATTTCAAAATAAGATCATGGCTTTGTGCAAAGGGATTCAAATCACATAGTCTGCCTCTTACCTATCTCTACATTCTGTAGTTTTCTTTGTGACATTTCCCTAGTTTCATAGTTTAAACCTTTCGTAATATTTTATTCATTGCTTTAGAATCGATAAGCATACCTGTACAGTACTATAGTATGTGAAGGAAAAAATAATCAAAGATAGCATCATTATAGAATACTTTTGTCACAAAATCATTACCAAAACAACCTTTATATTTAGGCTCTCTTTCTTCCTTTGCATTACAGTTTGTTTTCCTACCTTTTTTGTTAATTATTAATGATGGTTGATCTTTTACGGTATCTGAATTGTCTGATTTTCAGAAATTACCAGAGAAGGATTACATGAAACATGAAATACTTTAAACAGAATATTATATCTTTTATCATAAAATGAAGCACCATGGTCCCCATAAAGGGCTAAAGAAATTGCCAGTGTGGCCTGTTGTAATGAAATATTGGTACAAGAAAGTACAGTATTTGAAAAATGTGGGGAAACCTTGCCAAAATAATCTAATATACTGAGTTGGACTCCTCAAATGTTTTACAGTACAGTAATAAGGTTTACAAAATTACTTTCCATGATTAAGTTGACACCCCCCCCCCTCCAAAAAAAAAAGAAATACCTGTAAATGAAAAAAAAAATAAATAAAAATAGAAATAATAATTATAATTATAATTAATAAAAAAATAACACTAAAATAAATTGTATACAGTAAATAAAATAATGTTGATACAAATAAAAAGTGAAATCCAAATGTATTTTACAAAAGCCCTAAGACTCAACTAGGATTAATATACATACTATATGGAAATAAATTCCTGGGTGCTATTTTAACACCTGAGATGAATGGTTGATAACTTTAACAATGTACAGTACATTCACCCACAAAAGTCCTGTCGCCTTTCCCCCTGAACCGTGAAAACCAAGATTCAAACTCATGAATCCAAAGCATTTATGGATAAAATAATGAATCCGTGTCTACTGCTTCAAGTTTATGAGTCTGATCTCAGGGTTTGTAGAACAGCAGGAGAGGCAACAAGGCTTTTGTGGGTGACTGTAGGCGAGTTGTTTCTTATTTGAGACGCAGTAAAAACTGATACAGTACCCACATAGCAAGTAGCTTTTTAGTTATGGTATAAATTAATTATAATTATGTATTGCTACATCATGGAGACTTGGGCACTGAGGGAGTCTAAGGAAACATAATACCTGTACACTACATAATTGACTCGAGGCAAACATGTAAAGTACAGCTTTCTTCAATACAGTACGATACTATAATGTGTCGGCCACCAAACCACAGACTATGATGTTACAGTTCACACCGTCACAGGGATACACATCTGCCTGGATTATTAATAAGCTGCCTATGACTATTAGTGTACCACTTGTTTCATATATACATCTGACATCCTGAAACAGTGCTGTCAGTAGTGGATTAACAGTGATTATATTCTGCATGTTGGTTATGTTCTTTACTATTTGCATTACAAGTAATTTCATTAACAACTGTGGCCTCAATACTAATGAATACAAAAAATAATTCCACAACACTAAAATCTAGTAATTTTCTACATTAAACTTAAGAAAATTATCACAGTGCACCAAAAATCAGATATGTACTACATTCATGGCACTCACTCAAATGCAGAGAAAACCTGAATAAACAGTACAGAGGTTGGGTAGACTAACCTATTATTTATAAAATCAAACTCGAGTACTGTACAATACTTGAATTAACTTTTAAATTCCTTAAATTGTTCATTTATGTGCATTCTCATAGAGTAGTATACTGTATATATTTCAGACTAGTAATACCCCAGGGATAAGTGGAATATAATATTAATGTTGTTCGCTTAGAAAACTTTTATGTGCCCATTTCATTTGGTTGACAGTTCATTCCCCTTACAGAGCATTGTTCTTTTAATCACAGAAACAATCAATGACTTGCATAAACATTTTGATGAAATGCATATACATTATGCATTGTCATAAACATGTATTGAATGTTATATGTCATGGCATTTTAGTGGATTAGATATCTACTTTAGGGCTAAAGGTATACCTCTATTAATCATAACTCTATTCATGATCTTCAATTTTGATAGTATTGTAGTGTAAATAATTTACACAAATATTTGTTTATGAAATTTCATTATTTTTGAAATGGAAAACATGTAACAACTCATTGTATCAAAGAAAATGAACATCATATGCTCAAAGCAGTTTGACTGACATCAGCATGTTGAAACGAAATTGTTTACAAGCCAACCACGTCTTTCAAATCCAGCTCCACACTTCAACAGACCTCACCAACAATTTCTTGCATTTTCAAAGTGATTTACCTTATTTAGAGATACAATATCAGGAGATTCATGAACAAGTGAAATGAGCAACAGTAATAATACACCCAGTGGTAATGGACCACAAGTTGGGTGTGATAAGACTCACTGAGGTTATTGAAAAGAAAACAGGTATGTGTAAGTTGTGTTGCAAAGTGTCATTATATTACATTTAGTGGGGAACATACCTTCAAATTTATATTGATAATCAATCAATAAATATGATTTGACTTACTGTTTGATTTATGATAGGGGTGCCAGGGAAGCAACTCTATCATAAACTGAGGTATACTTGTACTAGTGATTACAGTATAGTCTGGATTTACACGGTTTTTGTTTACGTGGTGCCTTGCCAGAATGAAATGTTTGAATTACGCGGAAAATTTCATCATTTACGCGGCGAGCGGCTGGAGAGATCCAGACGCGCCATTTTGTACTCATGCGGTCCATTCTTGACCATACACGGGAAGCGACGCAGTGAGGGTTGCGCATTAGGTCGCTCTTACGTTATCGCTGATGTCATATGACGTATCGGACTGCGATTGGGCCACGCATCCTTACCTCCCTCCCCCGCTAGCTGTGATTGGTTTAATGTAATATGACGTGGCTAGCCACGAGTGGGGAGAAGCTACTGACCTAGCCTGGCCAGTCTCATTGTTCTCAGTTCTCTCTTGTGCCCGCTATTCCCCTCACAATGGCTTCCGCTGGACCCCTACCACCCCTAGAAAAACCTTGAACCTGGACCAAGCCATGAAAACGTGAAGGAAACCATCGAGTTGGGGGGGAAAATTAATCTCATCCTTGACAAAGACACAGTCAAGCATCGGCATGAAGTGTCTAATAACCTTCTGTCGAAAATTATGGAGCCGTATGTCCAGATGTATCACGACAACATCAATGCTAGTCTCGCCCGAAACCCACCACAACCACAGCCAGCCCAAGTCAGTGATAGTGACAGTGACGATATGGACTTTGAGGAGTTTGTCAGGGAGGCCCTGCAAACCTTTGTGAATAGTGATAGTGATTCACCGGAGGGCAACTAATCTGCCCTCTGCCTCGGAACCAGCCGCCATTCCCGTATGCCGACCCATCTCTTCTACTAACGTAAGTGTTAAACCTTGATTTTTCTTTTACCTGGTACAGTATATTATTCTCTTATTGATATTTCTCTTCTATATTATGTGTGTGTGCATACCATAATAGAATTAAGATACTATTTTTACTACAACATACGTATTGTGTCGGAAAAAGTGGAGTTTGGGGGTCGGCCCAGTCTCTATTTCAATTAATCCCATATGTTCTGTTATTTCGTTTACGCAGACCTCCATGGGTTTAATTGACCACGTAAACCGAGACTATACTGTATGTATATACCCTGTATTAATTATATTCCTCACCCATTGTTATCTAAGATGGATCAACAGACATAAAAACCTCATAATAATGGAAGGGAGGAAAATAGTACGTGAGTACCAACACAGAATTGATAACAACCTTTTCTGTCAACTAGGGCTTTTAACAACCGATACCTTACTGCAAACCAGCTATTATTTCAGCCAATTAATGGATACACTAACGCCCATATTATTAAACATCATCTTCCCTTGAAGAGGGTCGTCGTGTTTCAACCCGAGTTTTAAACTAAATAAGTCCTGAGGGACACCGCAGTACAGTACTTAATGGGGTGGTGTGGCGGTAAAATTAACCAATTCCAATAAAATTAATTTATAATATTGGAATTAGTTCATTTTACCGCCACACCATCCCGTTAAGTACTGTACTGCGGTGTCCCTCAGGACTTATTTAGTTTACAACTTGGGTTGAAACACGACGACCCTCTTCAAGGGAAGATGTTGTTTAATAATACAGGCTTGATAATAATAGCTGTGTTAATTCAAATTATCCATGGACAAACTCTTAAGACAGCTGAGTAATTACCATTTATGGCAGGCACTGGGCAGAATGGGAAACTTTTACCCAGGTTAATCAAGTTTGTGGGTGACCAACAACTCACTAGGAGGTTCCTGGTGACCAACAACTCACTTGGAGGTTCCTGGTGATCAACAAATTGTATCATGCTTATCTCAGTATGGAGGATTCTTGATAGAGCACTAAAGTACAGTATCTGTACTCTCTCTATGTTATTGCAACCATAGTACAGAGAAGATACACAACTACTGTCTTCTCTACAGCAGTTATGAACAACTTACAAAACACTTAACCAATATTATGGCCCTGAAGCATTATGATAGAAATTTAACTGGTTCAATTATGGCCTAAAAAAAAAAAGCTCTCTGTTTGCAGCAATACGACTTACAAAACTTAAGGTAAGTACAAAGATATTTTTCCTAAATTTCTTTGTTAAAACAACCGACTTAAAATGCCCAATAAGTTACTGTACCTTTAGGTCTGAAACATATATAATCAATGTTCCATATTGGGCTTTCAGAGATCCATATTGACTTGCTTATCACCCAGAGGTAATTATTAAGTATGATTCAAACACAAACATTCATTTAAATAAAGGTACAAATTTTCTTAATACAGTCAGTAGGGTTACTGCAAACAAGCATTTTTCTAAGCCTATACAGTCTTAATAAAATATAATACCTGCATTACCTAAACGATGACTGGTAACAATATACTCTTCTAATATAAACTTCACATATCTAATATACAACACTGGTTCCAATTTAACAGCTAAAAAATTTTCCTCGTGTACTTTACAATATAAATCACATACAGTATAACTGGAATAATGTTGACAAATGCACACTTTGCATATTTAACAACCATTACAATATGAGTAATATATTTGTTACCATATTTAAATTTATGGCAAGGTTACAGTTATGATAAAAATATTAAAATTTCTAACTGCAGAACTAACAATTATAAACACAAAAATTACCTATTAGTAATTTTCACTTTTGCAATGGGTCACTAAAATACAAATACAGTAATTCTGAAATATTTGGAATGAGAATATAATCAACTTCTGCTTTACACAAAGCTTTCAATTTCAACAAGTGAAACTTCATAAAAATACAGATATTCTTCAAATATGGACAGCTAATTCACAAGGATACACCCCATCATTCAACAGTGCAGGCACGCGCACGCACACACACACACACACACAAAAAATGATAAATAAAATCAGATATTGTATCCTGGGAATCAATTCAATACTCATTGTGTACCCTGGAAAATTCCATCAATATAAAAGTCAATCTTCATATAAACTTAAAGCACTTTTGTTTGTCATGCGGAAGTCTGGTCTTAAAAAGAACAGAGTCAACACGATACTGTGTATTCAGAAGAGGATTATAACCATAAACCTGAAACAATAGATACACTATTAATACAACTTGTTTAGATTTCTGAATATTAAAATGTAATTATAGATGCTTGAATGAAAAGACAGACTTTCCAAACATGCCAGCTTAAGTTTATTTAATTCCAGTACTGAATTACACGGGCAGTAAAACCTGCTTAACATCACCGGATAAGTTGGTAATATTACCTAAAAATAGGGAATTTTACCTGTTAATAAGCACTGTACTATTATTTACCAACAAGTAATTTAACCAATAAATAGATAATAATTTATGCTCCTTACTCAATATTAACGTATGTCTTCCATTTATTGGATCAGCATGATCTTTAAAATCATTGTAAGGTATTTTTCACAATGGTAATTATTTACTAACCTGTGTAAAGAAGTTTATGCAGCTGTGCCGCTCTGTAAAATGCGAATCATCTTCAGAGAGTGAGACTGGACAACCAGGGCAGCGGAAGGTCCATCGTGAGGTGACCTGAAACTTGTTAGTGAGTAGAAAGGAATGCGCTAAGGCTACGAGCTACTTATGAAGCATTAGTCATCCCATGATATTTAAAATACCTGCACAGTATAGTCTTGATTTACGCACATTTGGTTTACGCGTTTGGTCATTTACGCGGCACCTTGCCAGAATGACAATTCTAAGTTACGCGGTTCATTCCATCATTTACACAGGAAGCGGCACGGGGAGGGTGCGCATTAGGTCGCTCTTACGTTATCGCTGACGTCATATGACGTATCGGACTGTGATTGGGCCATGCATCCTTACCTCCCTCCGCCGCAAGCTGTGATTGGTCTAATGTAACATGACGTGCCCTGCCACCAGAGGGAAGAAGTCGCTGACCTAGCCGGGCCAGTCTCATTGTTCTCAGTCTCCATGTATACAGTTCTCTCTTGTACCCGCTATTCCCCTCACAATGTCTTCCGCTGGACCCCCACCACCCCCGAGAAACCTTGAACTACCTGGACCAAGCCATGGTTATGTGAAGGAAGTCATCGAGTTGGGGGAGAAAATCAGGCTCATCCTTGACAAAGACACAGTCAATCATCGGTATGAAGTGTCTAATAACCTTCTGTCGAAAATTATGGAGCCGTATGTCCAGATGTATCACGACAACATCAATGCTAGCCGTCAAAGTAACATTACCTAGTTCTTCGCCCACAACCCACCACAACCACAGCCAGCCAAAATCAGTGATAGTGACTTTGAGGGGTTTGTCAGGGAGGCCCTGACATCTGTGGTGGATAGTGATTCACTTGAGGGCCACTAATCTGCCCTCTGCCTCGGAACCAGCCCCCATCCCCGTATGCCGACCCATCTCTTCTACTAACGTAAGTGTTAAACCTTGATTATTCTCTTATTGATATTTCTCTTCTATATTATGTGTGTGTGCATACCATCATAAAATCAAGATACTATTTTTACTACAACGTACGTATTGTGTCGGAAAAAGTGGAGTTTGGGGGTCGGCCCAGTCTCTAATTCAATTAATCCCATATGTTCTGTTATTTCGTTTACGCGTTTCTCATTTTACGCGGACCTCCACGGGTTCAATTGACCGCGTAAATCAAGACTATACTGTACTGACTTTCTTCAATTATTTTGTTTTATTTCACATTGAACTAGTATTTATCAGCCAAGCAAAGATAGATACAGTACAGTATGTAATTATATTTTATGCTTACAGAATGTGATGCTTCTTTTTTTTTCAACTTTGTTCATTCTTATCTAGTTACAAAATAAGATAACTTGAATTAAGTGCAGCAGACTCCCTTCATTGACAAGTCATTAATTTAATTAACTACAGCTCTCTTTGGTATTCCCTTTGTTCCATCTCCCAAAATTACTTAGGCATTCATTTAGCTTTTCCCTCTAACTTTATGCAACCCATCAACAGCATGTTAGCATAAATGATGTTGAAAAACTGTATGTAAATAAATCACATACTGTACAGCATTTCAATATTTAGCAGGTTTGACCTTTTCTCTAACAGCAAGTGACATAGATTATTTCTGTATCTTTACCTTGACAGGCGGCTTTCTGGTTATGTGTGAAACGAGGAAATTCATGGCAATGTCTTCACAATTCACGTATTCATCAACTTTGTCACGTATGGCTTGTGGCATCACATGAGAGTACATGCTAGCATAATATTTGTGGAAAAAGGCAGCACCTACAATAAAATAATGAGAAAGTTAGTACTTATTTTGTTAAAAAATATTCACAATATACAGTAAATAACACCTATTTCCAGAAACTAATATTTTGAATATTAGTTTCTGGAAATGGGTGTCATTTCAGCTATACGTTACCAATGAAATATCGGGTACACAAAATTGTCAACAAGCAAAGAAATATAATTATAATAATTGCAGTGAAATTCTTACCTGTTAATACCATGGATAGTTCACAAGAGTAGTTGGAATTGTAGAGCCAACCACCGTAGTTCAAGTCCCAGGCATGGTAACGACCAGGGAACCCCACGATCCGCTCTCTCTCCTCCCTCCAAACTCTGATGTGTTTTAAAATTATTTCCATAAGTACCCGTATTGTACTGTACATGACTCCTTAAGTACAAGTCTATACTAAAAAACTCAATATTTTTTAGATGAAAATAAATAGGTGTATTTCATCCATATTTCTTAAGATAACCAGAGGTTGGCCAAGACTGACATGGGAAGAAGTTGTAAGAAATGACATTAGTTATGAACCTGACATGAGAAACTGTAAGAGACTGCAGGATGCAGACCTGCCATCAGGTAACCGAGGCTAGCTCATGTAAGCGTGGAAAATGGCCCTAAAATGTTATTGTTGTTGATGATCTTTCTTAAGATTTTGATCTTTACAAGGCTTCAAGGGTAGTCATTTAAAGAATCTTATACAGTACTCTAAATATCTGAACTACTGCTCATCAACATATTTAAGCTATTAAAAGACTTGTGGAAGAACTGGAAATATGTATAGTACTAAAAATTCAAAACATATAAGTAGTAAACAGTACGCATAAAATTTCCCCTGAAATTATTAAAATAATTATTTTAAAAAATTATAGTGTAAATATAAAATTTATACAGTATAAGCAGAAAGTTTTATCAATGCCCTTTATCTCATATAATTTTTGTTACATAACATCACATAATTTTTCTAAGAGTACAGTAATGCTGGATCCTGGTCACAAACCTAAACCCAAAGACAATCTCATCATGCCGCAGGTGAGCATCATCATCAACTGACAGCACAGCTTCTGTCTCAATCTCTGAATAAGGCAGGAATCGGTTGTTGAGGCTGTTGCGCTCTGCACGAATCACCTGCAAGTTTAATTTTGGAGTTTCACAGAACAATAATTTTTGTATTAAAATGGTAATACATTTTATTTAAAGGAAAGTGTGCACATTTTTTTAAAGCCTTGGTCAGATCAATTTACTTCATGCAAAGGAGAAATAAATACATCAGTTGGCAAAGAGCAGATATTTGCAACTGTCGAAATGCTCAGTGAGTACAGTATAGTCCCCAGGCTGTCTGGCTGGAAATTCCTGGCTAAATATGCCAGTTTCTTACAAACTCACCAATTATCACATCATTGGTTGACAGAAGTTGGACAAAGCTTTTTTAGTTAGCCATAGCCACTAAAATGAACACCCTACTAAACATAAGTACAGTACAATGAGTGTCCTGTCTGCCATGGTTAGGTATACCTCGCTATACAGTACAGGTCCTGTACTAATGTTCATGGTATGAATATTTGCGTATATGAATATTCTATACTGTAAAGCACTTACACCTCTTTCTCACTACAGCATACGAAAGCTATTCTTGCTTATACAAACACAGTTCCTTAATGTAATGTACCAAATATACGTAAGTACTAAATTACAGTAGTTAGGTAAGTTTTTTTTTGTATGGGAACTCATTTAATCTTTTTTAGGTAACCGAACCCTATTTTTCCCATATGTTATTCGATTTATGAACATTCAATTTTCGAGGAACCTAAAGCCATTCATATAGTGAGGGATACGTGTACAGTACTGTATTTTGTTTATGAGGAATTTCATGGGCTAAAATCAAATCATAAGAAAAAACTTACTTTACAAGCATCTGATAATTAAATTTGTGGATGCAACACAAATCCTAAACTAGCTTTATTTGTACACTAACCAGAGGTATTAATTTATATAATATGAAATATTAAGTGTAATGTACCATAAAGAAAAGTACAAGAAGTCACTGACCTGAATGGGAACCTTGATATCAGGCCACCGCAGGTCCTCAGGTGGGAGTTTTGGCGAGTTCCATACAACTATGACTTTGTTGAGGTAAGGCAACCCATACAGTCGAGCCAAAGAATTCAACAACACCTTAATAGTAATGAAAAAGTTATAAAACAAAGATAGCAAAAATATTTTATACATATGATTACACTGCATAAGAGTATATTCAGCACTTTATAAAAATATCCTATAAAATGATCAAGAACATGAGACCATATAATTTTATTACATCTTACAAAATTCACATGTTTAGAAATAAAAAATGCATGCACTGAGATACTACTTTCTCTAGAAGTTTATGACTTTTTGCTGAACTTAATTTTTCAGAAAGTAATGAAATTGCTGGGTTCCATGTGTCAATGAGAGAATTATTCTAACCTGTTCTCTCTCATATGTTAACATCACAATTGTAAACTGCTCCTTTGGAGAGTTTCCTCCGAGGCTCTCGCTGAATTCCTTTCCTGAACCCCCAGAACCTGCATTGATTGGTCGAAAACCCAACTTGGATCCTGAGAATTTTGCTTCTGTTGGCAGTATGGGGTTTGTGGGAAGATTAGGGTAAAGGTTGAAGGGGTCACCCCATACGTTCCAAATTTCGTAACCATTCAAGAGTGAAGTGGTGTAGTTACGAGTGAAAACTATTGATGGGAAGGGAGGCTCAATTGGTCCTAGGTTCTCATCTGTGTCAGGTTCTGGTATGTTGGCATCACTCTTCAGGGGCTGTAGAAGGTAAATTCAGTAAATAATTTATGCATTGAAGTAATAATAAAAGTTCAAAGCTCTCAGGGGTGAACATTCACATACAGAGTACACAGTATTGAACTGGTATATGGTATATTCATTACAAATGCAAATATGGGGTTTGAGGGAAGGTGCTGAAGTTGACTGCAAAGTATGGCATTAATATATTCTAAACATATACAAAGACTAAGTAAATTTTATTATTGGAGTACATAGATTGAATCTGAGAGAAAAAGTTTTTATGGAAGCATAAGTTTAGAAAATTTAACATAAAAACGATTTTGACAGAAACATTAAGATTACTGTTTATTACATACTTTTGTGAGAGATGAATACAGATGCAAAAATTAAAGACTGATATTTAAAAATTTTCAAACAAAATGATATTTTACACAACAAAGGGAGAAATATCTTCGATAGTACAGTAATTCACTTACCACAAAGGAGCCATTGAAGACACTGACTGAGGGTTCTTCAGCTGCTGGTAGTGCTGGGATGTTTAGTCTTTGCCTCAGTGTAGCCAGAATGGAATCCAGCAAAACCTGAGTAGACCCAAGGAAACGTTCCCACACCATACGACCTTGTCGACGCATGAAAAGAATGTCCCCATCCGACACTGACCGAAGAAGGAAGTGAAGCTCTGTGACACGAGCTTTTGGTAAAACAATGGTTAATTTAAGCCAGTCAATGGTTTCACTTAGAGGTAGCTCAACATGGTTACCAAGAATGACTGGAATGGCTCCATATTTAATGGCCTCATAAATACGTGCTTGCAGAGTTACGGTGGTAATTTCAAAAGTAGAGAGGGGTGCCATTACCAAACAAAATGTGGAATCTCGAAGAACCTGGGTACGTCTGCTCTCAGTTTCACACATTTGCCATTCTTCCAAGTCCCCATAACCCCCACTCCCTTGACAGGTAAACTGAAGCAGGAACTGATCATCTGTGTGTGTGTGCTCAAGTTGCATAAGTTCCTCAACGACAGCAACTTCTTCTCTTATTTGAGGATTGCTTGAGAGAGGATGCTCCTCCTTATCCAAATAGTTTCTCAAACGGGGCAATTCTCCTTGGAATGACAACAGATATTTCCTCTTAGCAGGCACCAATGGGGGAAGGTTTTGCCAAAGGTCACCACCAGGAAGGCCAAGAAGGGGAGGAGTCACTAGGTCAAAACCAGGTCGATAGAGATGAGAATAGAAGTGAGACTGAACTGTTATAGCCCGGCCTGTATTGACACCTTCAAAAATATTTTTACTGTAAAAGGTTCTCCCAAGATTCAGAAGAACATGGTTACGGCCATCGCCATTCCAATATGGCAGGCTATGGAGAGTCTCTTCCAGATTAACTTTATCAACAGATGAACCTATACTCTCGCCCATTAAAACAACAAAAATACAAGCCTCAATTGGGTCAGAAGTAACTTGAGCATTGTAGCCCAAGGCTTGTTTTACAGTAATTTTTACAAATGCTTCCAAGTCACTCGAAGGCATTCTATATTTATCAACATCATAATTATATACGGGAAAGTTTGAGAGGAGTGAGCATTTTGAATAGTCAAAGCAGTTGTGCATACGGCACTGAGAAACACTATCTGAGCTTGGTAAAGGTAGAGGAATGTTGTCCTTTTGAGTGGCAGTGATCCGGAGAGGAGCCACAATTTGTGGCATGTTCTTCTCAAACACTTCACGTTGTGTAAGAAGAGCCTGAAAGAGTATAATGTGACTTAATTTAAATCTTAAAAGTATACCAATACAACAAACAGATTTGTTTAGCATATGTTTTGATTATACCAACAGATTTCAGCACTGTATTGTACAGTGTGTAAAAATGGTAAATCCATAATAAATAATGAAAAAAATTATATCCCTATACTGTACAGTAATATGTACTTCCTTAAAACTTGATGCTAAATATATACACTTTTATTTTTCATAGGGTCACTCCTATAATCTCTTATGCTCATCATTAAGGCTGCCTGAATCCTATTGCCCACAAAAATAATAAAGGACTAAATTTAAAAATTCGATTTTATGGCTGTGGAGATGAATCAAGTGACTTATTTTTATAATTTAATTTATAATTTTACCACTTATCAGCTTCTTAGCTGTTCAGGTGGCTGCTCAGTTCTTCGTTATGAACATAGAGTATTGTTCAGTGTTAGTAACTACAGGAAGAAACCTCTGATGTTTGATAGGGCCACACAGGATAACAACCTTCCCACATGTGTCTGGGCCATAATTCAAACCCATAACATACCTGGTATGGTGAGAGATTTAAGCACATTGTCACTGAACCAACTACACTATCTTAGGGGTTTACCGCATACTACGATATGGACACTGTCCTATGGTTTTATGAAATAGGATAAACAGTAAAAACAATCACTTTGCCTGTTAAGGTTATTATGACCACAACAGGGTGCAGAAACTAGGTGTCGACAGATTAAAGGCAGAGAAAAATGTGAGGACTGAATTCAGAGACTTTGGATAGGGGGTGCTTCAGAACTGGCAAGAGATATGTCTCAGTGTCCCTGGTAGCTTGTTTGTTTTTCAAAACATAAATAAGTCTTAGTTGAGCTGTCGCCCTCACTACACAGATTCAACTAATCCATATAAGACAGTATTCTTGAATCGGTATGCAGTCAGCCCTCTAGACACAGAGGTACAGGCTCTGTCAGGAATAATCTGCAAGTGAAAATCTCCTTCGACACTTGATGGATGGCTTATAGTCTATAGACACAAAATTCAGAGAGATGTTCTATGTGTATTATTAACTGTGATTTAAACCCTCTCTGTTCAAATCTGTAACATGTCATCCCTGTACCAATGGTGGTCAGTGCACTAAGCATGTTAAGTCTGATTTGCCTCACCATTAAAAAACTTCAATAATTCAATTGGGATAAGATGTCATTATTGTGCTAGGTGATGATGGTCAGCACATAATGTTTATACATATTATTCTTGCTTTTATTAACAGGGAGATGACTACAATATTAAATAACAATACAATTACCTGCTCAACACTTGTCTTGAGTCTTTCAAGTTCAGTCTTGATTCTGCTCTCTTCCTGTCGTAGACTTTCTATTCGGGATGTGGCCGAGGCTATGTTTTCCTGTAGCTGCTGTCGATGTTGTTCCATGTCACGCAACTCATTCAGCACAGAAGCTGTCCAGAAAAGATGAGTCATGAAAACAGAAGACATGAGGTAACTGATATAATTTTAATATATAAAAACAAAAGTACAGTACAACATGCCCTTAAAATTCGTAGGGGTTTGGGTCTGAAAATGGCCGCGAATTGCCAAATCTGCGAATATCATTTGCTGACCTGAGGAGGAGGGGGGGAGAGTGTTACATTTTTACTCGTGTCCAAAGAAATGTACAGTATTCTCCCTTTATGTGTTTGCCCTTAGGACAATTATTTCTTTTACCTGTACTGTACTGTATACATGTGTGTCTGTGTGTGTGCTCTTCATTTTTCTTATTTTATAGTTTTATACAGGGCGTTTATAAAGTTCCTATCTATTTCAGTGAAATAATGGTTTTTATTGATTTTTATTGCAGAACTCCATGAAGAAGAATGTGCAAGAACGTGTGCTGGTGGTAACACTGCGTAGTCAAGGAAAGAAATGCAAAGAAATTAGAGAGGTTTCAAAGAAAATTTCATAAACCAGGTCCTACAGACAAGACAATACGCATATTGTTGAATAAATTCAAAACAATGGGATCTGTTAATGATGAACCAAGATTTGGACGTCCAATTGTCTCAGAAGATGCTGTAAATGTAGTAAGAAATGCAATTATTTTATAATTGAATTTAACACAGTTCCCCGTTATTTCACTGAAATAGATAGGGACTTTATAAACCCCCTTTTTATACAATACTGTAAAAAAAAAAATTATTGCTAAACCGAATTAACATTAATGAATTAATGCTAAACATGGGATACCTGTACTAAGATTTATTTACCCATGGAATCTTACATAAATGTATTTTCTCATTCCCATGCAAGCAAGCGTGAGCAGACACACACACACACACACACCTCAGAAGCAAAACATATGATTCATGTTATAATCCAACAGCTGAGAGTAAAAGCATAGTTTATCATGGTGCCAAACAGTGTTCATTGTAGACATGAACAATTTAACCCAGCTACTAACATTAGTCTGCCCACACAATGAAACCTGTCATTACCTATATAGTATATCACTTTATGGTGAAGATATAAGTAATCCTTCTGATTCTTTTAAGGTATTTGATGCAGCAAATCAAATAAAAAACAGATAAAATAATATAATTTAAAAGTATGACTGTATTCTTAATGTTATACTGTACTTCTATTAAGAATATTTATAATATATACCCATCTGAACTAACCTTTTATAGAAAACAGCTCTTGAACTCTGGCCTTGGCATTATCACACTTAAGACCCGACAGATCAGCCAAGGGATCACTGGGGTCCAGAAGAAGATGCCGTTCATGACCCAAAGATGAGTCATTCACAGCCTAGAGTAAAAAGGAGGAATTACTAGTACAGCAGGTGGGGGTAGAACAGTCACCTTATATAGTAAAAAAAATACATCAAATAATTACTGTAACCCTCATACTATACCTGAGGTATGAACTTCACAATTTTCTTTTTCCCCCTTTACTGTACGAGGTTTTAATTTTGAATCGACTTCTGGCCAAACTTACTAATTTCAAATGACATTTAAGCCTGTTCATATTACTTGGGAACTTTTTCTTTTTAAATTCCTTAATATTAGTAAAATGATTAACATGAGATTATTTTACAGAATATTTCCAAACATACAGTACTTGAATTCATTTCACAAATCAGAAACTGCTGCAATTTGCCCTGTACTTTAATGACTTACATTATGTCAGTAACAGTCCCCTTGGTCCCTGGCATCTTCAAATGACCTTTGGGTTTTCCACCTAATAACTGAGTGAAAACCCCAGTGCATAAAATTAAAAAATAAATAAATAAATAAATACACAAACAGTATTTAATCTATTGTACAATATCTATATGAGGATTATGATAGTTAAAAGGATAATAACTTTTCTTTGTTGACCTCTGATAATTTCTGCCTCGGAGAAGCAAAAATTAACATGTAGGGTGTCAGAGATGGAGATACTTTTAAAGTGTTTGAAGAAGTTGTCTTTAGAGATGATCAACTGAGAAGTACAGGAAGATAGCACAAGGGAGAGGACGACACCCATTTAGGGAACAAGTTGGACATTAGTTAACCCTTTCACCGCATGTCACGCACTTGCCATTTTATTCTGGCTACCGCCAGACGATTGTATTCAGCTTACTGTAACCTCCTGCGGTGAAAGGGTTAATATCCAAGATTATGGGATAAAATGAGAAGATAAGGAAATGTTAATAAGGTCAGAGAAGCTGGAGTAAGCTCAAGTGTACATTTTTTGTGAATGAGAGATGGAATACCATCTGGACCCGAGGCTTTCATTGGGTCTAGATAGAAGGAGCAAAACAAAACTAAGTGGATATAAATAATTAAGATGATTTCACAGGAGACAAGAATTTAGTGAACTACCCCCGTCCCACCACTAAAGACTGCGATCTGTGGGACAAGTGATATAAAAAGGACAAATAACAATAGAGAAGGTGAGTAAGGAGGGAAAATGGAGTGAAATATACAGGAGTAGATGAAAAGGTTGGTAGTTACAACCTAAGAGTTAAAAGTCTATTTAGCCCAGGAAAGCTGTCAAGAAGAGAACTGAAGTTACAAGGATGTGTCAGTATTTCTTCCACACATACTATATGCTATGAATGCAAATGTTACAAAACAGTTAATAATATCTATATGGCAAAAAGTACTGAAAAAAAGGAAAAAGATTTACACATCTCTACAACATAATATCTACAAAAGAAGCATGGAGATGTACATATATACTAACTAACTTACCTTGGAGAGATAGTAGTGGGCACAAAGTGGGACAATTATCAATATCAAGAGGATGGTGGGAACAATTCTTGACGGTCGCAGTAACCATCCCCCAGCCATATTAACTTGTACCGGGCCTCCTCCAGTATTCAAGCGTCCATAAGAATTACTTCGCATTTTCCTGTGTTTTAGATTTTTTTTTTCAAAAGTCTATTTCAAGTGTAGATTTAATGTTATGGAATCCATCATAATATTTAAATTTTGTATATAATTACAGGGCAGAAAACCCTCACATCAATATTGAGACAAGAAGTGTTAATGTTACTCTCATTTTCAGTCTTTTATTACACTCATGTATATAAATATACATTGTTCACACAGTTCATAAACACCTCATTAAAAACTTCTTGAAAATAAATAATAAATGAACATAAAAGTCAATAAAGTATAATTCTTCTTGTTAAGTGGGTCATTCTCTCTCATGTAGTTCAATACAGTATCATGACGTGTCCAAGTATCGTACAGTACAGCTTCAGTCCTTTTCCTCCAGGCAATAAAACCTGTAAAATGAAATGCTTTATATAAAATACTGAAATACTGTATAACTAAAAAAGGAAAATAATGAAAATGTACCGAATGATTTAACTTCAATACAGTACTATCTTCACTTTTATGAAGTCTATAAATACAGCCGATGACATATTGTCTTATGAGAAAAAACACAGTGCAGTACTGTACATATTTCATATTCTGCTAAGAATCCATTATGAAAACACAGTAGAGTAATGTTAAATAACAGAATAGGCAAATACAGTACATCAGGCAAAATGAAAAGCCTATTTAACAGTCAGCATTTAGATAATAAGTACAGTACTGTACCGCATTAACACACATATCCCTGGCCCAGGATAAATGTGACCCTACAAAAGTTGGCAGGTTTTCTCTAGGTAGCTACTCCAGTTTCCTCTTATATTAACACTGGACAATAAGGGTCCTAACAAAATAAAAAAAGAACAGGCCGACCACCTGAATGGTTAGTACGCTGGTAAGTGGTACTGTAAAATGATAAATAAAGAAAAAAATACTGTATGTAGATATCAGTACGAATCAAACAAAAATCACTGTCCTATGCATTGTGAAATTGGCCGATTTTTCAATTTCTGTACAGTATACTGTTATTACAGTCATTAACTAACTGTTGTAAAAAAGAAAAGCAATAGATTGGTGCAGTACTGCATAACTAAATTAAATGAACTCAAACAACAAGTAAAAAATTCCAATTCGTAAGTTAACAACCCTTTCACAGTTTTTACTGGCAACATAGTAAATTGGTTACCCAATTTTCCCATAGGATCTAGTAAAGAAAACAATTGGACCAAAATGTTCACCTACAAGCAGAATCTGTGCCAGGATATTGGTAAATATAGTATGAAAATTTCGCATTAGGGTTTATCGAACAATTGTGAGATTATAAAATTATAAACACAACTTTAAAACTGCAGAAAATAATAATTCCCAAACAAAGATACTGTATGAATGACTTTGTCACTTTTCTTTGGGTGAACCAAGAAACACAACTAAATAGTTTAGCAGTCTTATCACAAACGAAATTGGCGACATACAATATATCCCGTGAACATCATGATCAATTACCTTAACAATATCCTGCTGAGCAAGATTAAGAGAACCCAGATCAAAGTCTTACAGGTCGCGGCCTCAAGCTAAATCCTGAGATACGTTTTTGTTATTTAGATGAATAAATATTTACTGCTTATATATTATGTGACTAATGTAGCTGTGGCATCAAGGGCAGGTAAAGGTAACTTACCGTACCTCCTCCACTCTGTTTACATTTTAACCACAGATGTCTGCCACCTGTGTTCGAAGTCTTTCTTTACCCAAATTATTTAAACTTATGCTACAATATAATAATTAAAATGGTTTAAAATGGCAAATAATTATATACTAATAATAAATATATGGATAAATAATTTATTGTAGGACTATCTCAGGTATTTATAGGTGTGTATTAGTGGACATGAGAGAGGACTCGGAGAGGTGGGAGGTGTGGCGGCGGCGCTCAACAGATGGCGGCACGGGTCGCAGGTCGTCTGCTGCTGAGACGTACACCCTATTTCTGACACCTTACTCTACATTAATGTGAGTATTTCTCAACATTTGGCCACTCATCCCAGCGTCTGCTCCCTGATACACGAGGTTGGTGACAGGAGGGTGGTAGTAGTGGGTGTAGAAGGGCGTGTTATGATACAATACCCCTCCCACTCCCCACTTGGCGGCCACAACCCAGCTCAGGCACCTCAGTTGGTCGTGTCAGGTGACATCATAGGTCAGGGGACGACACACAAGACACGCCACTGCTTGCTCCTCCTCTCAAACTCCTGTGAGACTCACAAGTCCTCGTTTTGGTCTGCTATAAGTGTTGGCCTTGGGTTGTGAACTGTGTACTCGCAGGCAGTGGCAGCTTGCCATTGTTATTTTTCTTTTACTCCAAGCTTATGTTTAGCTATAATTTTAGTGCTTGTTTGTGCAAGTGTTTTGATTGGTACATTGTAAGATAATTAGATTTTCGTTAATATTCGTGTACTTTTATATTGTTTCACTTTAAATCAAAATATTGATAAAAATTTTGGTATAAACCATATCACTGTGAGTACTACATCCAGTTGAAAACAATTGTAAATAAACTATTGCACTTTGTCATTTCTGATATTGAAATTAAAGAAAATATTTATAATGGTGGAAACTTATTTTGTGTCTAGTGGTGCTATTTATTATGTAATTGATTAATAGAATTTTTTTTGCTTCACCTCTTATTTTGGTATTTTACATTCTGGCAGTGGCTAAATTACCAGTCACAGCAAAATAGCCTGAAAGGCTATTATTATATCATTACTTCTATTACATAGACAATGGACCAGCAAAATCTCCCAAAACATCCTGTCAGGCTATTTTGCCATGACCAGTAATATAGCCTGTCAGGCTGTTTTGCCTTGACCGAGTAATGTACGTAGTCTATTCATTACCTTGTCTATCTAATGATCACCCACTGGAGGTGGTCATGCTGTGGGAATGAGGCCACTGGCCTGTGTAGAATCCCTCCAGTGTTCTTGATAATTTTGTCTTAGGCTATTTTAAAGCCCAGTACAGTACTCATCTCGATTCCATAGCTTGAGCTGGTAGACCGTTCCATAGAGTGACCACCTTCAATTTGAAGAAATATTTCCTTTTGTTCATTTTACATGATTACTTGGTGTGATATCACGAAAAAAATGTCTTGGATTCATATATTTCATCATATTCATTAGATGTAACAGAACTAACTTATCCTAACCAACTCTCTTAGGCTATAATGTGGTTTGGTTATGGCTGATGGGTGCATGTCATGTTCAGTACTTTATTTATTTTGTGCCATAATCTTATAGACTCATCATTGCCATTCGGAAACTGAAAATGTAAGTTATGAGGCCTATGTGTTATTTTCGTATCTTTTCTGTAATGTGAAGCACAGTTTAATAAGATTAGAAAAATTATGAAATAGATAAAGTAAAAATCGATATAGTAAAAACCCCAGAATTCAAAATAATAGCTGCTCTAGCCCTTATGAATTATGAGATTTTGCGAAATATGAGGGACACCTTCTCTCGGGGGGGAAAAAAGAACAACGATACTTTTCCATTATCTGTACCAGATTTAGGTGCTTGGTCCAGGGTTATCAAATATAATGGCTCAAACACCGGGCAATGATGGAAAAACAGTGGAAAAAGTTTGCACGGCAGAGCATAGATGTATATTCCAGAGAGAAGCAACATGAACTGACCGTGATCGACAGGTCCAACAAGCGTGATGCGTATAGTACTTTGTTTACACTGAGACAGGTGGTCACAACCCATGAAGACATGTGCGTCATATATACAGTAAAGGGGGCCCCCTATTTTCACAGATTTCTATTTTGCAGTCCTCTATTATTCGCGGATGACGCCCTGGATGTACCCAAGAATGTCTTTGGGTAGTTTTAAAGTTGCCGGCATTTCGCGACTGGGACAGGGAGCCATTTATTCTAGAGAGAGTAATTTCCTTTACCTTTGTTGTAAATATGTGTCTACACACACACATGCACATATATACAATACAGGTAAAGGAAATAATTGTCCAAAAGGCAAACACATAAAGGGAATACAGGGTATACATTTCTTTGTACACAAGTAAAAATGTACCCGCCCCCCCTTCCCCTGCCCCCCGGTCAGCAAATGATATTTCAAATGATATTTGCAGATTTGGCGATTCGCGGCCATTTTGAGAACCTATCCCCCGCGAATTTGGGGGGCCCTCTGCGTTTTACTGGGTAAATCCATTTTCACTTTCAGTGGAATCTTGCAACACGTGGCATATACAGTATTGTATATAAGATCGTGTTGCAGAAATTCATAGAGCTGGATTTTTATATCTTTGATCAGATTTTTAGGAATTTTTTCTTGTCCTTTGAGAGAATGAAAGACCGTTCTAGAAAACCATGGTGTGACTGAGCCTTTTATAGATGCTGCTGCATAGTATTTCACATGAAAGTGAGGAACATTAATTAGTGTAATAGTCTTTGAGACCACACCCAAACTTCCGTCCATGACTCAACCTGCACATGCAATGTACACGTAGTGATCTAACTTGTGTACTGTATTATGTGTTTATTATGCCTTTTGAAGACAAAGCTGCAGTTTAATATAAAAAGTATTATTTCAGTTCACAATAGATCATAAAAAAAATAGATTTAAATTATCTTCTGAATTATGCAATTTCCTGAAGTACTGTATGCAGGGGAAGACAGTAACCCTTCACTAAGACCCTAAGACCAAGTACAGGCAGTCCCCAATTAACAAACACCCGACTTACAAATACTGTGTCCCAATATAATTATAAAAAAAAATCTGCAACAATTTTTTTTTTTTTATACATTGCAGTCCATTGTACTGTATTGTTTAACTCACTTTATTTACAGTATAGTAATTACATTATTTGTCTTGTTTAGGATATTGTTGTTGTTTTGTATGGGCAGGGTTGTGTTTTAAGCTAACCAAACCTATGGAATGAACAGAGTCTGGTTCAATTGAAAAACAAACGACAAAAGTGAGGTCTTCCCTAGAGTTGCATTTTCAATAGTGTGTATGTTGAATTTTCCTTATAAGTAGAGATTTAAGGTTTCACTAAGCAGACTGACAGGATTAACTAATTACTATACAATGTGTTTCCATAACATCAATTAGGGAATGAAACTTGTGATAACTAATTTCTGATATGTACTTAGATATTGAATTTTATTTTGAAGTTTTAGTTTTTTGCTGTCAGTTTAATGGTTCAGTAGTAATAAACCAGTATTGTGGCACAGTGTAGTACATTACTTTTCATGGATTACAGTATATAGTTCTTGAAGTGAGGTAAGTCTAGAATGATGAAATAAAATATCTGCCAGTCATTACTCTGTTTTGTGCCCTAGATGACAGCTTTACGTGTATCAGTACTGTACTTTTACCTTCAAATGGTAATCATGGTGATGTAAACTCTTTTACATAATAATTATAAGATCTGGTGTAGGTGTGTGTCACTTCACTGTTAAACCAGCTCTAGTTCACAGTTATGTGTTACCTGCAGATGAGTTCAGTAAATTTTTTGTTAAGGTTCCTCAAGACTGTTGTCCAAAATAGAATTGAAATATATTCAGTTTGTGCGTAGCTCATGATAATTACTAAACTCTAATGCCACATGTTTTGAACTGAGGTCAGTTAAAATTTGAAAATTAATTCCTCAAACACTTGCCCCACACAGAATTAACATGTGCATGCAACTTGATGGGTGTTCCATTCTCAAGTTTATATAAGCTAAGTTGGTCAGTGTATTAGGTCTGAGTTAGTTTGGCTAAGTTTTCAACTTTTGGTTTTTCTTACTGTATACAGTACAGGTACAGGTACTTGAATGTGCATTTTTTAAGTTGGAGAATTGGGGGTACCGGTAATTTTAATTATACAGTACAGTCGTACTGAATACAACACCTTTTTATCTTGAGTAATGTTAAGTGTTTCTTAGTCCTTTTCATCTTCATACAATATTAACAAGCAATGATGACCAATTTCAGGTGAATGGTGCGATGGTAGGGGGTATTTACGAGGTGGTGCGGCTGGTGGGTGGACTTCGTGGCAACCACTTCACCACTGCCACCACCTCCACTACACCCAGAGCCATCACTGCAGCTCTTGCTACAAGGTGAGGCCACAGCACATTTTTAGTACAGTATTTTTTGCTTTCCTCATCAGTTCAACTGTTTTAAGAACTGTGGAGGGGGGGGGGGAGAGTTCAGTATGTTTTCTCTGCTGTCTTCCTTTTCTTACTGTTAAAAATTAGTAACTCGTATTCATTATGGGTAAAACTGGATTGGCTTGTCTAATTTCAGTACAGTGAGATCTGCATTACCCTGGTATTCTCAGTTCCATTGTAAACATCCAAGATGACAGTAATTTATAACCTTTATAGATTTCATTGATTGGAATCGATGTCAGGGGAGTTTTATTGTCTACTTTATAAACATTTGGTGCTTTATGAAGTCTACTGAATACTATGTATTGTAAATGTCAATAAATCTTTTTATTAGAGTCTTCTTTGTCCCATAAACTAGAGCTTCATGTCTTGGGAGTTTTACAGATTTCTTCAAGACTTGAGAAGCTTCAAATATAATTATTGCATGTGTTGAAAGAATATTCTTATACAGTACAGTAATAGTATTCAGATGATGTAGCTTGTTGATTCCATTGTTCAAGTCACCCATTATGTCTTAAGCCCACCTTAGTTTTGGGCAACATGAGGGTAGACAAGATATACCACAAACAGTAATAAAAAAAGACTTGGTAACACTTAGAATGTTTTCCTGGCAGTGGTGGTGATATTATCATCTTCAACCACCGGGAGGGGGAGTCCACCACAAGCAGAATACCCTGGACCACTGAACAGAACAGGAAGCCAGTAGCTTTAGCCTTCAGTCCCACAGCAGAATGGTTGCTGGTTGCAAGTGAGTTTCCAAAAGAAAGATCAGATATGTAATGCTGCTGTGATGAAGTTAAACTATATTGTTACAGAAATGTTCTCATTTTGGTTATTAATCTTTTAACTGTAACAGTATTGCTTTAAAGTTGATGTGTTTAATTACTGTAACTAACTAACATTTGAAAATGAGGAGGCTACTTTTGAGTCACCATATCTTATGCTAATGATGACAAATTTAAAGAACTACGTTCCTTCCCATTGTCTAATATGTTTTGATCAGAGACAGAATAGTATTTATACCCAATTCTCTGAAATAAATTACAGATACTGTATTAGTGAAACTGTATGCAGTATAAAAGTGCCAATTAAAAGATCAATGGATGGCGAATTGAATGATTGAGTCGGTAAAGATGATAAATGTATTGAGGGGGAATTGTGGTAGAGGAAGTAAGGATAAAAATGTATAGGGGAGGAATGCTTAGTGGAATGTTGAGCATAGTTTACTGTGTGGTTGTGGAGCATTGACTCAAGATGTAAGGGGATGTACTGTAGTATGTTAGAGGCTCAAGGGCAATAAGCGAGGTGAATAGGACATGAAGAATATTATACAGTACACAGAAATAGGATAATGAGGAAGTGAAAGGAGTACTGGACCGAGGGCCATCAAGGATTTTTGGGGTCACATCAACATATTATGGAAATGATGAATGAAATATTTGTACTGCACTCTAAAAACAATGTTACTACAGCTGTGGTTGGTTGGAGAAAAAAGTGATAACTGAGAATTAGGTGGAAGAATGGTGTGTAGGATATACTGGTTAGGAGAGCAATGAGTCAAGTGGGTGCGATTCTGGCCATCCGATACCAAGTGGGAAGAAGCTTGCGAGTAGAAAAAATTATCCAACTCTTTTTGGTTTGATAAAGAGGTGGATGACAGGGTTCTCCATATATAAACAGTGTACTGTACCTATCTTATGTTACCTTCAGTGTTGGAAGATCTATATAATTGTTGCGGAATCATTTCTTTTAAACAAATACCCCTGTACAAGTAATAGTACATTTACATTGCATTATTTATAGTAGCCCAGCTGTTTGTGTTTATATCAGAACATAATACTCTCGTAAAAAAGTGTAATATCACACAAATATATATACTGTACAGTAAGTCCTCGTTTAGCGATGTGGTTCTGTTCCTGAAAACCGCGACGTTAACAGAATCAATTTTCCCCATAAGAAATAGATAAAATACTGGAATTACGTTCCCCAGCCTCCCTTTGCCCCATAAATACATTACATATGCATAAATTCAATGGCATTTTTATAGAAAATAGTAAATATATAAATAAACTAAATAATTTTGTATTTTACTCACTGATGGGTGAAGGTGGAGCACGTGTGTGGTGGGTAGTGGAGAGGAGGAGGGTGGCGAGTCACCAAGACCCGGCCGGTGGCTCCTCCTCCTGCTCTGACTGGGGTTTCTCCTCCATTTTTGCTTCTTCACAACACTAGCATCAATAGGTGCTTGGAAGCCATTTCGAATGGTTAGAGTACAGTACTGTACAGAATTTAGAGCAAAAACACTTAAACACGCACGAATGCTGTGGAAGCCTAACAAAGCCTGGCGATGCTGTGACGCTCTGCGAGAGAGAGCATAGCGCGCCAAGATGAGTGAGGGTGTTGCGCCATATAAAGTAGTTCGTGACAAAGTTATACTGAATCAGCGGGACATTGTCCGAATCATGGGCATCTAAAGAATAGTGACATTATAACGTAACAACGTTGTCAGGGGCAACGTTAAACGATTACTTACTGTACTGTATTGCCCTTTTAACCCCCAACCCAAGGAGTAGAAGAGATTTAGCAGTCATAGTATCTTGTTTATGTTAATTTTTGTAAGTACTAATTACAGAAGTGTGTAAACTATTGCCAATCAAAATTTGAGACTAAATATATTTACAGTACCAGTCAAGAGTTATACTTGAAGCTAAAAAAAAGTCAGCATTCAACTTTTCATATAGGAGAGGTGGAATCTGTTATTACAGTGATATCTCCATTAGCTGGAAAAATTGGTGCAGAGCACTTCCAGGAATGAGAGATTTCCAGGTAACAAGATGACTCAATCAAAGCCGGAAAAAATCCCTCATCCCAGAATTTTCCAGAAATTTCCAGGTAACTGAAAAATTTTCTTGGATGTTCCAGAAATTGCCCATTACATCATCTTTTGAACCCTAAAAAATATCCCCTATCCCTGGAATTTTCTGGGTATCGGGAAATTTTTCTCAGAATTTTCTGGAAAATTCTGGCTTTGAGAATGATTTTCCGGGAAAATTTCGTTTCCTGCTGTCGTAGAGTTCCGGGTTTGAGGGATTCCGACTAATGGAGATATTACTGTATTATGACTACGCATCTTACACTCTGAGACTTAAAGTGACTGAAGTGGTTGAGGCAAGTTTATTAGATGTGCTTTGCACTTGGTCAGGACTTAGCTCAGAGATTCTGAATCACACTTATGGTCAAATATCAAAGATGTTTCCAACAAACTGGAGCAATTGGTTACAAATGCTATTTATTGGTTTGGCTTCTTTATAATTAGATTACAAATGAGGAAAGGGTTTTGTCATGATTATGTGGGGTAACTCATAAACATTAAAAATACTGTAATGTTGGAGACCACAATAATAGGGCATTGTGAGGAAGTCATGTTTGTTAGCATTGTGGAGTCAGGGTATGTTGTAGAGGCCAAAGTTTGGATATGTTGTTAAGTTCTAAGTTTGGGTTTGTTTTAGAGTGTAGTACATTGTACTGAGTTTTGGTATGTTCTAGAGTACTGAGTTTAGGTATGTTATAAAGTACTGTATAGTACAATATTAAGTTTAGGTTTAGGTATGTTGTAGACTCAAGTTTGAATGCTGCTTTGTTGAAGAACTTCTAACAAATTATATTTACTGTAATTGTGGTTCAACTCTTGGTAGATATACTGTATATACCTTTACTTTGTGTTTCAGGTGAAGATGGCACACTGTTTGTTGTGCCTCTAGGAAGTCGGCTCGATCCTGGCACTTCTCGTGATCATCGCTTTAAGACAGATGATGTGTTGGTTCTTCCTCCTAATGGTAGCCGAGCACGCCCCACTTCCCTTGTGTGGTAATTAGTGGAGGACGTGTTCAAGAGTATTTAACATGAAGCTGCAATTTTATATAATGTCATATTTTTATTTTCTTGTTTTGGATGCAGAGAAGTACCTGAAAACTTGAGATAAGGAATCTCATGGCCAGCCAGTACATGTTCCCAAGCAAGAAGTTGATACTCTTCTTAACAGTGTAGCAGATAGGATAAACTGTTTTGAATATACAGACCTGTAAATCATGAAAAAATGAGCTTAGTGATGATATTCCCATATAAGGAAGTTTGGACAAATTTTCTAAGCTTTTCATTTAGAGAACAACTTTGAAATCCTTAACCATTTCCTATCTACAAGATCAAAATTTACCATGTGTCCCCAGGTGGCAGACACTCGTGGGTGATGCCTCCTTGGCCATCATTGGCACGGAGCTCGGGGAACTGTCTTTCATTGAACTCAGCAGCGGAAAGGAAGTAGGAGGAACATACATAACTGTTCCTGTTAAACAGCTTCACTTGTGCCGGGATAACTCCTTGGATACTGTGTACTTGTTGGTAAGGAGTCTTATCTTTTCATCACAATTAACCTTTTGTGTTTCTCAAAATTGGGAAACACTTAGTCACCTTATTGTCAGTTTATTGTCCATAATTTTTTAATGGTGGAGAAATTCAACTGAATCCTTTTTGTACTCTGAATTCCAAATGATTTAGCATAGAAAATCATGAAAACAGTTAGCTATAAATAAATGTTTCTTCCTTTCAGGGAACACCAGCTGGTTTGTTTTATATGTTGTGGCAGTTTATTTTCTCTTCTGTTGTTAATGGGTTGTTACCAACCTCTTGTTTTTTGTAGGAAACTCTTTGACAGACAGGTTGTCCTCGCAAATTCATGGAAATATGCATTAAAAACATATGAAAATTTGCTAATCATTTGCTAAATAACTAATTATAATTGTACAACATAAATCTTAATTATTTCAAACTTATGCTTTAATGCCATATATATTGGACAGTTTTTTTTACACTGATTCCACTCTTTATAAACAATGTGGTTCAGACTCAAAAAATTTAGTGAGCCCAAAGTTAGCTTAATTTGAACAAATTTTGAATTGCATGCATCAAAAATGAATAAAAATTGCTATGATAAACAATAAAATTGATTTATAGTATATCATAAAATACATATTTTATGTACAAAAAACAGCTCTTCTTTCACTCGAACCATCCTCGAGGTGATGTGACAGTTCAGCAAGCAGTCACCTAGCTATCTCAGACACATGTGGCAGGCTGCAGTTGATCTGTACTGTGTATATCTCATGACATCACATCGGGGGAGGGAGGGCTGCTTAGCAGCGGCTGGGCTGGCTACACAGTTACAGCCTATTGCCTCATTACATACGTTCACTTCCTACACATACACACCCATGCTCTTCATTTTTCTTATTTTAAAGTCTTATATTATATTTTCTTTATTTCCAAGCCACATAAGAGTATTTTAATGATTTTTCTCTCAAACATGGTAATTGGGGAGTGCTCATGTAAATGCACTGATTTGCAGAAAAACAGACAACTGAGACACTAATTTGCGAGGTCAAGCTGTAATGTACTTTATAACCACTGGTACTAGTAAAAATATAATATTTTGCTCCCTTTGCAACCAATGCCCTAACAAGAGAGGTTAGGAGCAACATTTACCTTACAAGGCTAACACCTTTCCTTTCACTGTTTGTCATTGGTCATAATAGATTTCTAGTATCAAGCAATGTCCAGCTGTATCCCATTTAACAAAAGATTTGCCTTTACAATTCTGTATTTTCTCAAAGAGCTAAGTGCATTACCCTTGTAAATTTGAGTACTTTGGGTATATTGTGGTTCTCTGTATTCTTATTATTATTATACCAAACTCCAGACTTTGCTTACTTCAGTTTGTAAGATTTGTCTCAATGAGCTAATAATCCATTTACCAGTACAGCTGGCAGTCAGTGGTTGTGGTAACCTTACCCATACTGTGTCACAGGGCCCACCTGATTTCATATCCTTGTGGAATTTTGGCATGTTGGACAAGAATATCGGTTTGATGCTAAATACTGTACGGGGGTGCTACTATAGTGTACAGTCTACAAATATAATCTAACCTGATCTAACCTAAGCATCATGTAGACTGCATGCTATAATAGCACCGTATAGGGTTACATAAAGCCCTGTTACAGATGTTTGTTGGGAGTCTAATTGGAATTTACCCTATGTAGTAATGGAATTATGGTATATGTAATAACCACTACTTGACGATTATCTTGTATAACGTTTATGCCTAATACTTTGTTAGGCTTTCAGAGCAGTTTTGAAAATGATGATTCAAATGCCTGTTTCTAGAAAAGAGCTTAATTTGCATGACTAGGTTGCAAGGTAAGATCCTCAGCCTTGGTGGTGCCATAATTAGTTTAAACTAGAGAGGTGCCACTTTACATATTTATCTCTTTTTCTTCTAGATCACAGGGCCAGAGGACCGACAGTGGCGCTTGGTGCTGGAACAGCGTAGCAGCCAGTATCTCTTTCCCTTAGAGCATATCACTCCAGAGTGGCCTGAAGATGAGAGTCCCAGTGGGTCTTTACACCGCACGGGGCCTCCCACAAGGTCTCGACTTCTGGGACTCAAGCAACTCTCTGTGGAAAAATTACAGATGCTTAAACAAAGATTGGCTGAAGCAAAGACCGGATCCAGACGCAAGCCTTTAACTGAGAACAAAGGTTAGTTAAGGTTCCGCAATTGTAATATGATTATGAAATTAAATCTGTTAAGTACCTTTTGTTTAGGAAATTAATTTTCTTATATTACTCAACACTGTACAATGAAAGCCAAAAGTAGTGTCGTGAAATTTGGTGAAAACATATGCCGAAGGGCTAAACTTTTGGTGCGCTCTGCCTTGCGGTAGGGGCTCTCATAATGTTTTTCGAGTTATATTTAATCTTTGGACAAAACCACGACACGACTTTTGTCTTTGATTGCACCTTTTGTATAAGAGGAAGTTGAACTATCATTTTGATGCCTTGGCCAAGCAGGGTTGTCTAAGGTTTGCACCTAGTTTGTCATTGCCATATCTTGATGTACTTACAGTAAGCTAACTGTTAGGACATACACCTTTTAAAAATAAAGGAAATATGTTTAAGGAAGTTACCTTTATGCAGTATATGATTAGTCATATTAAAATCTTAACTGGGTTGAGTATTGTGAAGGTAACCAGATGGAAAAGGTTTGTCTCTCTGCCCATAGCCACTTGGACTCCTGAGTGATCTATTTGTTCGATGGATTAATGTTGAATCCTTCTGTTTTTTGTGTGAAAGTTGGTACAGTAATAAACAATACTGATTCATAGGATGTGGTTTAGGTGAGTGTACAATAGTTGGAACAGGTACAATAAGGTGTGAAATAAGTTGCTAAATGAGGTCAGGTCAGGTATTAGTGTCCAGTTTCTTAGGGTATGGGGGTGGTTATGCCATCAAGTGAAGTACAATAGTACCTCGATACACCAGACTAATGGGGATAGACCCCAGGTCAGAAAATGCGGAAGTACAGAAAAAGTGAATCTATAGAGGGGGAAAGTTTTTGGACATTACACTGCTTATTTGGACTCTTTCATGAAACCAGTTGTTTTTATAATGGTATTACTGCGCCTCAACAACTAAGCACGTAATATTTTTAGCAAAACACAGTTACATTAACAATAAAAAAATACGAGAGATAGAACAATGGGTTGAATATCAGACAAAGTCTGGTTGTTTACAACTGTTTGCACTGATATGATTGATACATACTGTAAAGTGTTAAATAAATACTGTACTGTACAGTACTGTAAGACAAATATAAGAAAAATATAAAGAGTGTAGGGGTATATTGTGTGTGGGAGATGAGTGTGTATCAGGGAGCAGCAGGCAGGGGGTAGCACGGGTGTGTGGCACCCACTCCTTCCCTCCCTCTCCCAGGGGTCCCTTTGACACATCTTTGTGATTTCCTCATAATTATCATATTATTTAGGTTCATTTGGTGCCGGGTTGATAAAGTATTATCTTAAAATAATAAACTTTCCCCCCAAAACTATCCCACACTCAACCCAAATGAGTATTAAATTCCCGGTTGTTTGTTTACAAAGCCGAAACAGGTTTATTCATTAATCAGTTGTCTAAGTGTACAAGTAGACAAATCAAGTCATCATTTATCACTCAAAGGTAGTAAATGCCGTTGTTAGGAAAATATATCCACATTAAATACTTTACAATGTTATAATGACCCTGTTGTAAGCTGATTTGCTGAAAGCTTTCTCTCTCCATCCTGAGTGAATATCTTCCGATACAGTTTATCCTTTTATTTTCAAGTCAAATTACAAATTATATATTGTATTTTTTCTGTTATTGGAGATGTTATATTGATCATGAATAATTTCACACCACAAGAGTCTGCTCGTACGAAAACATAATATTGAATCAATAAGTAAACCTGGCGAATGTGGCAACTCCTGGTCTGCCCCAACACTCCCAGCCTGTTTACATACACAGTGTCTTAACTCTTGTTAGGCCTACAGCAAATCTGATTAGAACACTGTACAGTATTCAGTGAGTAAGTGTTGTTCTTTTCATGAGAATTTTTTTTTATCCATTTCTTAAAATAGGTACTCTACAGTATTTTATTAATTTCTTAAGATAGGTACTCTCCCATTTCTTAAAATAGTTAATCTACATTGTTTCACCCATTTCTTAAAACCCCGTATTCTACATAAAATTTTTACGTAAATGAGTGTAGGTAGCGAGATATGGCACACTGATATAATGCAGAGGAGACAGGATTCAGACAGAGGCATGTTCTGCACAACACCCGTACATAGACGCTCAACTGCAAATACGATCACACAAGCCATCCAGACTGATCTTGGATTTCCGGACTTTTTTCAATATTTCCGGTGAATAAAGGGGTGGTCTGGAGCTCCTCAGAGGACCCCTGAAAAGCAAATTCTGGTGTATAGTGGTCGTACTGTATCTCCCTGTGTTCTAAAGTTATAAGATGTAGGATATCTTCGGGGGTAACATGTTACTTGTCAGTCGGTCAGGTCACAGTAGTGATATATCTGGTTGAGTGTTGACAGTGAACTGTGTTAGATAATGGCTGTTCGTAGCTCTCATGTAGTTAATACAAATGTGATAAATCATTTTAATGTAATAAATGATTAATATAGAACTTACTTTGAAATTGTCACTAATGCTTTTGCAGTGTGCGTGTGTGTGTGTGTGCGCGAATAATAAACGGTTTATTAATAGAGTTCCAGCCGGTGGCTGAAAATATACAAACTTACATGTGATTTAGACATAATGATATGCGTTCAATACATTTACAGGGCTGTACATTACGTAAATCAGGAGTCGTTTATTATTTTAAACAATAGATGGGATGGTGCTATTCTTATGTGTGCGCGCGCACACGTGCGAAGTTGTCCAGACTTGAGTTCAGATTAACCTTTTCACTGTGGTCATATAATTCTTAAGCCTAGCTACCTTGTGTGGCTGTTTTTAGTAAATTAGAAATAAATTAGCTGTCATATTTAAACTTTTAAACTATATTAGTGATAAAAATGTGCGGATCTTGTCTGGATACAGACACCCACCTGGTAGGTGGATTATGTAATACAGTAGTATGGTTCTGGGGTGGGGAGTAGCTCAGACCCAAATGCCAGACACACGATGGAACCATGTGTTTCTCTCCCACAGTATACTGTATATAAAATACTTTTTGTATGTGTACTATGTATCTGTTCCTTATGCATATCCACAATTTTGAAGATAGAGAGCTGAAATTTGGTAGGGGGAGGTGCAGGTGGCCTAAGGGATGGTCATACACTATCTCCTGTCTCTCCATCTGGGTAACTCAGCTAGTTTACAGTACTGTATTATATTTTCCTATAAAATCATCAATGGGTTTGTATAAGTGAATTTTTTAAACAGCATTAATTTTCAAGCAAAATAAGCTTATAATGCACTGATAATTGTTGCTAAATATAACAAAGTATGGGATGTGGAGGATGTCTGCTCCACCACACCTGCAGCATTATATTCTCATGTGTTTTCCTCAATAATGGACATTGCACGTGGGATTAGTTTGTGCACCAACTTACACACTATTATGTACTGTACACAGTATTTACTGATTTCCTCACACCACACCATCTCTTCAATAGTTTTACAGTGTGGGGTATGCCTCAAAGCATGGGTAATTGCAGATAGGGACATTACACTGTCAACACTTATGTTGTTCGCTGTTGCTTTTTCTACCCCCCTGGTTGTGTGGGCACACACATGGCATCTATGTCCTGCAAGAGGTTCAATGAAGTGCCTTTCCACTAGGTGTTAGGCATGTACTCCAATTTGGCCATTAGTGTGATGTTTGGTGGAGAACATTATTACTAAAGTTTGGCAGTGGCTGGTTACTACCTATTTTCACTTGGTGCTTGTAGTAACTTGAGAAATGATATGTCCAACATATGGATAAAGAACTTGATATACCGCTTCACATCAGCCTCATTTTGTAATCATACTTTAACAACCATGCGCTTTTTCTTTCTCACAACTTGCTGTTGTCAGTCTCTCTTGCCACTATCACACATCCCTCCTTTGTGAGCAGTAGGGAGCATGTGTATAACTCTATTAACACATCACTTGAATCACAGAATTTTCTTACTGTGCTGTATCATATGCTTGAGCACAGCAAGTTTAGGCATGCTTTTTCTGTTTGCTCGCACAGTTCCACATGCACCAGTATTTTCCTCGAGGAAGGAAAGAAAGAGGTCAGGGCTGGTATAACATTTGTCAACAAAGAGTACATGTGCTTTCTTGAGATGAGGAGGCAGTAATGTTTTGACAACAGAACAACAGAACCAAAAATACCGAGATTTTCATCATGCACAACCTCTTGCTTCCTTCCCAGTACAGTATACAGAATGAAGTGTGAACTGTAACCACTTTCACAGTCACACAGTTTTACTCCAAAATGAAGACACTTTGAAGAAATGTGCTGCCAATGCCAAGGTGACCCCCTCCACTTCACTTCACCAGGCTCTCATCTATGAAGACATCTTTAAAGGGTCTGAACGTTGTATTGAAATTTGTGCATACATAATTAAGAACTGGCAGATTTTTCTGTAGTTTATCACCTTGAAGAAGTTGTGTCGTCAGTGAGATAAAGCAAGTTTAGGATTGTGGAAGTCTATCACAGGGTATCAGTTCCCCAAAATCCTTTGTTTAAATATGGTATCTGTTGACTAGTAGTCATTTTTTTCTTTTTTATTTTGTGGCATCATTATACAAAAGAAAAGGTGCATCTCATCTCTTGTTGTCCACTCCACTAGTCTGCTATGAGGTTGAATAGTAGGCAGTGTTCCATGTACATGTTCATAGTAGCAATTAGTCTCCATCACTACATTGTCCACTAAGTCTTTATCAATAAATTAAAAAAGAAATCAAGTTCTTGTGAATTATCAGTCAGAGTGCCAGCATCAGTTACATGTACAGTATACCAGATTATGATGAATCAAAATTCAACTGTGTTGGATGGGCTGGTGAGACCCAGCCTCACCTGCCTTTTCATTGAAGGTTTGTTTCCTTGGCCGCTGCACACATGGATCATTGTCCTTCTCACTAGTGTCGTCCGAGTTTTTTTCATCACTTAGTTCTTCCTCTTCTTCACTGTTAGGCCAATATTCATCACATTTTAAATCACTCGTATCATCTGTTTTATGTGCATCAAGAATATGTTAGTAATTAGCACTGTCTTGCCTCGCCGCTGAGGTTGAGGTGGCTACAGCAAGAAGTATCGTTCTCTCTCCTTTGACATGATGAAGCAAACTGCAGAAAAATTTTTCATATTGTATGTCAACACTTGAGGGATTGCCACTTCAGCCTACTATAACTAACATTTGCCTGCCAAATTATCGAGTGCAAATTTTTAGGGATGATCTCTATACATACCAGCCACAGTGAACCCTCAACACAAAGAGACCATATGTGTACCAATCACAGTGAACCCTTACAACACAGAGACCATGTGTACCAACCTTAGTGAACTCTCATAACTCATAACACAGAGACCATATGTGTGTACCAGCCAGTGAACCCTCACAACAAGAGACCATATGTGTACCAACCACAGTGAAAGGGCTAAAAGCTGATCTGGAATCAAGAGTGGAAGCGGGTCAGAGGCAAAATCTAGATGGGATGGATCCAGATTGGAAGGGCTATAGTGTATGGTATCTTGGAAGAAGTATAAATACAAATTTTGGAGTACGTACTCTGGTGCAGATCAAGAACACATACAACAATATGTATGGTGGGGATCCATTAAAAGAAAATTTAAATGCATATTAGAAGGCAAAGTAGTGTAGGACAAACTTTATTTATTTTCTTTTTATTATTTTCTTAGATTTTCATATACCGGTATGTTCTCCATAAAACATATTTGATAAAATGTTTTGTTTTAGGAGTAGACACATGTGACATTGATGAATTGTCAGCAACGACCACACCAGAGCAGGCAATGACCACTTCCACTACTTCCATTGCTTCGGGTGGAGAGGGTGAAACTGCTCCGACTGTTGCTGCACGACCAGAGCGGCTGTGCAAGTTTATCCATGACGTGTTAGCCACCCCACAGTATGCCAAAGAACGATACTTATTAGCAGGACATTGTAAACCCAATTCTACCTTAATGGTTGGTGATTTCTGTGATTTCATTTGTTAGAAATAAGTTTAAGTAGTTTAAATTTAATGTAAAGTATTTTTTACAGTGGCATGCTTGTTATTTCTTTACCCTTCTTGTGATTTATGTTTCTTTTGATCCACCTCACTTAAAAGTGGTGGAGGAGTAATGATGGGAAGTAGATAGCTAGATAGAGATGGAATGATATAGTATGAATGAACTATACTGTACAGGTATTAGTACTTTGTAGCAAAATTTGGTGTGAGAGATATGCGCATGGAAAATATTTTTCAAAACCTCTACTTGTGGAGATAGTCACAGGAAATGGAGAGAATGAAAGAGATTGACCTTTGAATACAATATGCACTAGTAACAAAATGTTTAAAAACCAGGAGGAAGCACTTTGATTTAAACTTCTCCCTTTGTTAAGCTTCTCTAACTACCTTCCTTGTTTTTTGTTTTGAGATTGCATCTCAAGAAGACTGAAACAATTGGTTTTCATGGAAGTAATCTAGTGAAGAAAAAAGAGAACATAAAGAGTTGTACCATATCACAACATCTGTGATGAATTTTGTGTGTGTTGTAGGTATAAAGTCCTAAGGTGCCTCAATATGTACTTGGAGAGTCTTGCTTTGAATGATTGTGATAATTTTGGCCTTCAGTCATCCCTGATTTTTTGGAAATTTGCTTTATGGAAATTAACTATAATGGAAATGGTTAGTTTATGACTAAAATTCAATAAACAGAAAGCAAATATTGCTATAATGGAAATTTAGGTAAAAAACTCAAATATATTTCAGAAGAAAGTAAAAATATACATGGTTAAAATTTTTCTCCTCCCATCCTCCAAAAATTAATAAAAACTGCTATAATAAATATAAAAATGATGCATAGGACATCATAAAATACATTAACACACATTTTATGTAAAAAAAATAGTTCAGCCAGCCAGCTAGCTGACTCAGATGTATGACTGCTGTGACCTGAACATTAGAGTATTGAAGTGATTTTTCCACAACTTCTATAGTTTCATAATGTGTAGCAATGGCAACGTGTATAGCCATCTCACAGCTGGTTGCCAATGTATTATGGGGCTGTCTACAGTATTAATACAGTACTCACACACACACACTTATCTCTCTCTCTCTCCACTGATTTAATTGCTGCATTATGTGTGTTTATGTTGAGAATAGTATTAATAAAGTTTGTTGTTTGTTATTATTTGTACGGTATTTGTTACATTGTAGAGTCAAGATTTTGTGTAAGAACTTAATTATACTTTACAATGGGAGTTCAATATGTGGGATTTCTGTATATGACAAGATTTTATGGAACCTAACCCTTCTGGATATTGGGGGATGACTGCATTTAAAAATTATTAGTACTGTAATAAATTATGGGGGATTAAAGTGGGAAAATTTTCAAATTGATAGTGAATCATTCTACAATTATCCAGGATGAAGGTGTATTGATATCTAAAGTGCAGTATGCAGATGTAGGGATGAACAGCTTCAATCTTATTTGAATTTTGGGCATACCTGAAAATCAGGTTTGATATTTAGGGATAGAGGCTAATGATAAATGAATTAAGTGTGTGGAAGAGTTAATAGTTTGCATGATTATTAGATTTATATTTTTTCTTTATTGTGGTGGGGAGGAAGCTGAAAATTAGGTAAGTAATTAGACAAATAAATAAATAAATAAATAGATAGATAATGGTGAACTGTGGCTCTGTAGGCAAGGGATGAGTTTCTGTAGTTGGATGGATAGCCGTATCTCAGACTTGTTTGATTGCCGTAATATTTCAGATAAATTTAAAATTGCTGTTCATTTGTACAGTACCCAGAGAAGGCCAAATGAGGGATCAGTAATAACTTGAATCAGTTTTGGGTTTTATACTTTTTTTCTTTTTATCTAAGGAGAAATGTAGGGGAAAACAAGATAAATTTTTAAGTGAACTAAAACAACCAATGTTAATGAATATACAAAATGATATAAAACAATCCTGAAATTCAAAAAACATAAGTTGTGTGTCGGGCAGATAAAATGTTCATGCCACAGCACGAACACATCTGATAAAATAGCTGGTGTCTGGCTACTCTGTATTTAAATGTAATGGGAAAAGTGCAAGAGTAAACACAAATCCATAGATGAATGAACTATGGACAGACCTGGTTGTTAGCTTGTTACAGGTATGGGAGCTTTTTCTATCTAATAATTAGTACTCGGGTGGGCTGACATTCGATATAACATCCCTCAACCCTTGGTACTCTTATATATCAGAATTCAATGAGCCAAAGGTCTACAGGTATATTTTTGTTTTCTTGGTACCAATTATTAGGTTAAGTAGGAGAGAATTTATTTGTATGTGCTATAATTGGGCTTTAATTATTTCAATACCTTTATATCGGGCCACTGCTCCAACTTCATTCTTAGCTGAAATAGAATATACAGTTAATTTCTTAACTTAAGATACTCTCATCTCTTTTCTTTTTTTTTTTTTAATCCTTGGAAATTATGTACTGTACAAGTTTTCTAATGTTTATTATAATATTTTTTCCCTTACAGGTATATAGTACTGACCTGGAGCCAACTCCATTGTATGTGTTCAAAATCATACCCGATGCTGACAAAGTGGTGCTTCAAGATGAGATGATCTTCTTGTCAGACACGGAGTCCAACAGAAAAATTACAATGGTGTCCACATTTTTCTCTTCCTCTTCAAAAATCGATGGAACAATAGTAAGTGGTTAGAATTTAATTTTGTTATTCTGATATGAAATGTTAGAATCTTTTACAGCATATCTCACAGTTTTCTAGGCCTAAGAATCTTTTCGTGAAACTTGTTTTCATACATGCGTCAGGCCTCAGAGAGGGATACCTGAATAAGATAAAGAATGAAATGATATGTGATTGCCAACTTTATTCTGTTCCCAACCTTGTGTAATCAAGCATGTACACCAAGGCCTGAGGGTTTAAATTGCTTCACACTTTCTTAGTATTTTCTTATAATATGCAGGGATTCTAGTTTTTAAGCAAAAGTAGGAAAGAATATGTAAGTACATACTTTGCAGCTCAAGAATTATATCTTATGTTTTCTTACATCTTAGGATAGCAAAATCAATCCAGTAATACAAGAAATAGAATTACCAGAAGAAGAAGAAATTCTGTGTCTCTACCCAAGTCCTCCCTTGGTGTCATCAGAGGTTAACAGCAGCCCTCCGTGCTCTGGACGATCCTCTGTGTTAGGAAGAATAATACGAGGGGAAGAAGATGAGGAGGAAGATGTAGAGCTTCCAACTCACACATGGCCTCATGGCTGCTTAATACTAACCTCAAAAGCTCTCTATATATGTCAGCCAAGGTGAGATCTATCTCCCTTTTTCTTTATATTGTAAAGATGTCTTCAGGGTTTTCAATGTATCCAGCTGCTGACCAGTTTAACTGATGTGTAGGCCAGTCTCTGGGTTGAAACTCCAGGTCCCAGGGCCATAATTTGTGGTTAGGATCTAAACATTGAATTATGAAGATTATTATTGTATGATGTTTAAGGAAGTTCATAATCAGCCTACACACCCTCTTCATACAACCATATTCAGAATATCCCAAACTTAGTGCTCTTTTATCTTCAGCATTCTTTGTTCCAGAGCCTTTTTCACCATGCACACTTTCATAACCTGATGTATGTTTGCCAACATGGCTGATGAGGTTACCATCCAGTACTACAATTTCCATTTCAACATGCTTCAATACTACATGCAACAACCTATCCCAGAACTTGTAATTTTTTCCCTCACATAGCCCAACCTGTGGGGCGTGTACTGACACAACAATGGCCAGATTCTTGCCCATCAATAACTTTAATACCAAAATTTTCACATTTACCCTTTTCACTTTCAACACTTTCTCCACTCAATATTCAGCAATCAAAATCCCCAGTATGAATAATGTTGTACACAATTTAGTGATTCTAAATAATACTTCTTGGAATTGAGTTTCATTCTTCAGACCCCTTTTCTTTTTGTATTCAGAATGAGTGTGGAGTCTCTCTTCATGAACCTGGTGCTCAGAGCTGGTGACATCGACAGTGCCAACAAACTTGGAGTCATATTCTCCCTGGACCCCAAGCTATTTGAACTGGCTGCAGATGTTAAGCTTCGATCTCGCAACTTTAGTACAGCCATTGCCCTGTACAAACACTCTAGGGTAAGAGTAGCTTCATCAAAAATTTCATTAATATCTATTGTATGTGTGTGTGTGGAATGTTATTTGAGAATCTTTATTAGGTATTCTTATGAATTACTTTGTACCGTATATTGTGGCCCTTAAGTCAACCTGGCATATAAGACGACCTTAATTATTTCAATTGAAATTTTTTATCTAGGCCTATACCTGGCTCTTAAGTCAATCCCCTAAACTGCAATTTGAAAGCTATGTCCGTGGTTTCAGCTGAACTTGTCAACATTTACTTTTTAACAGCACTCCCTAACAAGTTTTACCAAATTGCAGCATTTTCAAAACGTTAAAATACCTTTCAGTGTTAACTACGTTTTTTATACAAACAAACATTACTAGGGCACACAAATGTGGTGAAAACAAATCACAGCAATACAGTTCCCATAAGCGTAAAAATATTTAAGATACACTGTACACTAGGTGAGTAATGACAATTTACTAGTACTGATAGTTTATTGTTAAATACTGTGACAAGTAAAAAAAATTCAAACTTAATAATTATGGTACAGTCAACCCTCGCTTTACGCGGTCCCACATTCAGCGTTTCCATGTTTACGCGGTACCCTGCCGAAACCGGAATGCTCACATTCCGCGGTGCGTGTACCCCTTTACGCGGAGAGCGGCTGGCGAGCCGCGCCATTTTTGGATCCAAACCTCCCGCCATCTCTCCCGCCCTCTCCCGCTATCCGCCATGTTGTGTAACCGGCGCGAGCAGGGTGCGCACAAGGTCACCCAGTCATCAAAACATTACCGAGTTCTTCACCCGCCACCTACCACAGCCGGCCCAAGTCAGTGATAGTGATAATTATAGTGAGGATATGGACTTATATGGACTTTGAGGGGTTTGACAAAGAGGCCCTGCAAGCCTCCGTGGTGGATAGTGATACAATTGATACAAGTGATACAGGTGAGGGCCAATAATCTGCCCTCTGCCTCGGAACCAACCCCCCATCCCCTTGTGCCCAGCCATCTTTTCTACTAATGTAAGTGTTAAAAAACCTAATATTATTGATATTTCTCTTAATTATTAATTGTGTGTGCATACCATCATAAAATTAAGAAGTTATTTTTACTACAACGTAGGTATTGTGTCTGAAAAAGTGGAGTTTGGGGGTCGGCCTGGTCTCTATTTCAATTAATCCCATATGTTATGTTGTTCACTTTTCGCGTTTCTCACTTTCCGCGGTATCCTGTGGGTTGAATTAACCGCGTAAAGTGAGGGTTCACTGTACAGTTAACCCTCACTTTACGCGGTCCCGCATTCCGCGTTTCCACGTTTACGCGGTGCCCTGCCGGAACCCAGGATGCTCACATTCCGCGGTGCGTGTACCCCTTTACGCGGAGAGCGGCTGGTGAGCCGCGCCATTTTTGGATCCAAACCTCCCGCCATCCGCCATGTTGTGTAAGCTGCGCGAACATGGTGCGCACAAGGTCGCCCAGTCATCAAAACATTACCAGTTCTTCACCCGCCACCCACCACAGCCGGCCCAAGTCAGTGATAGTGATAATTATGGTGAGGATATGGACTTATATGGACTTTGGGGAGTTTGACAAAGAGGCCCTGCAAGCCTCTGTGGTGGATAGTGATACAATTGATACAAGTGACACAGGTGAGGGCCAATAATCTGCCCTCTGCCTCGGAACCAACCGCCCATCCCCGTGTGCCCAGCCATTTTTTCTACTAATGTAAGTGTTAAAAAACCTAATATTATTGATATTTCTCTTAATTATTAATTGTGTGTGCATACCATCATAAAGTTAAGTATTTTTACTACAACGTAGGTATTGTGTCTGAAAAAGTGGAGTTTGGGGGTCGGCCTGGTCTCTATTTCAATTAATCCCATATGTTATGTTGTTCACTTTTCGCGTTTCTCACTTTCCGCGGTATCCTGTGTTGAATTAACAAAAGTGAGGGTTCACTGTACAGTTAACCCTCACTTTACGCGGTCCCGCATTCCGCGTTTCCACGTTTACGCGGTGCCCTGCCGGAACCCAGGATGCTCACATTCCGCGGTGCGTGTACCCCTTTACGCGGAGAGCGGCTGGTGAGCCGCGCCATTTTTGGATCCAAACCTCCCGCCATGTTGTGTAAGCTGCGCGAACATGGTGCGCACAAGGTCGCCCAGTCATCAAAACATTACCAGTTCTTCACCCGCCACCCACCACAGCCGGCCCAAGTCAGTGATAGTGATAATTATGGTGAGGATATGGACTTATATGGACTTTGGGGAGTTTGACAAAGAGGCCCTGCAAGCCTCTGTGGTGGATAGTGATACAATTGATACAAGTGACACAGGTGAGGGCCAATAATCTGCCCTCTGCCTCGGAACCAACCGCCCATCCCCGTGTGCCCAGCCATTTTTTCTACTAATGTAAGTGTTAAAAAACCTAATATTATTGATATTTCTCTTAATTATTAATTGTGTGTGCATACCATCATAAAGTTAAGATAATATTTTTACTACAACATAGTTGTGTGTCGTCAAAAAGTGGAGTTTGGGGATCGGCCCGGACTCCATTTCAATTAATCCCATATGTTATGTTATTCACTTTACGCGTTTCTCACTTTCCGCGGTACCCTCCGGGTTACATTAACCGCGTAAAGTGAGGGTTAACTGTACATGATAAGCAAATCATGCTGTACATTATATTGACAGTATATGGTAGTACACTGTACTAGCAGTATATGGCAACAAGTACAGAGGTTGACATTTTATACCTGTTGTAGAAGATGACCCCTAGTTTTGAATAAAAAATTTGAAGCTTCAAATTCGACTTATAGGCCACAATACACGGTACCTGTTTAGTCAAAACTACCGGTAGCTCTGTAGAGTATATTACCCCCATGTATGGCAATTGAGAATGTGAGCAAGAGTATTCCTTCTTGCTTTAGCCCTATCCCACTGCTCTCTACTTGTCTAATGCAATTTTTTCTTTTTCATATTCTCCTTGTTTTGAGGTTTCTATACCTCTTGATTTACCCCACTGAACCATGGGAGAGGAATAAAATTCAGATAGAAAGTGCTTAGCTGTCATTGATATCTTTCTCAATATTCCTTATAAATCAATCAGCCAATCAAGTGCCATCCTCATGTTGGAGGGTTAGTTATTGCATCTCTTTTCTTCAAATGTATTGAGGCTTTCTTTACCAATCCTCTCAGATTCTGCATCTCTTCAGTGATCCAGATATCTATTACCGGTAATTACTTTATATGACAGATTTTTTATTTTATTTTTTTTTATTTACTTTTTTTGGTGGGGGGGAGGATAAGTAATATATTGCAGTACAGCTTTAGAATAATACAGATAACCAGAAATTATACTGTAACTTTAAATTTTATTAATTTATCATTTGGCATGTGAGCAGTAAATTACTCAATGCTTCCATGTTCACAGGTCATGCTCCCTCTACTGTACTGTACTCATGTGGTAGTTGCAGAAGGCCATAATTGTCAAAATTTCATCTAGTTTTAAATATTTAATTACCATGATTGATTAATTTTGGTAATTTTATTTATTATATCAGTACAGTAATTAGGAGATGAAGTTCTAGAATAAATAATCATATATAGAATCCTTATACAGTATCTTGGCCACATCTTCCCAGCTCATTCCTAGTGATATAGCACTGTTACTTGGGCAGGGAAAGTTTACATTTTCCATTTAAATGTTAAAAAAAGTTGTTACACTTTTTCTTTTTTCCTTTCCTTGGGAATACTGTATTTCAGCAATCAGACTTGAAATTTTTTTGTTACCTTGAAGATATTTTTCCTTTACACTTGTCTGTTAAAATTTGACTGTATTTTAATTTTTAAATGTACTGAAGTGCTTACGTATTTCCAGTGCCCTCATGTGAAGTGCTCAATCAAGTTTGCTGCCCAGGGATTGGTGACAGAGTTTCTCACATATATGGGTACACTGACAAGTGGTGTCAGTGGCCCAGATTTAGGTGCAGAAGAACGGCGGAATTTGGCCAACTTGGCCATTATGTGTCATCTTCATCATTTATGTCTACCAGGTCCTCACAAGCCTCCCTCACAGCAACAAGCCTTGAGAAACTTGCTTCTCTTTCTCCGGGACAACCAGTACTATGATGAGATCCTGGCACTGACCCTGGCTGCTGGGGCTTGGCGTTGGGAGACACTGCAATATTTAGCAGCATCACGAGGACTATATTTAGAAAAATTGCAAGTATTGTTATCATCTCGAGCTTCACCAATTTTAGATACGTTAAGTGTTGAGCAGCTGTGTAGTTCCACCAACAAGGACGGTGTTTTACCAATAGCTCGAGAAAGGGAAGCTGGTTATCTACATTGTGTGTCTGATCCAGAGTTGCGTCAGGTTCTTCTGGTTCGGCCATCATTAGCACGGATGCACATTGCCCTTGTCTTAAGTCTGCTAGCCACGGTGGAGATTCCTATTCTCCGCCGCCTGGTTGACCTTTATAATCCCACACAACCAGCCATCAGACCATTCATGCAAACTACTAATGGTAGGAAACAAGCCTTTCCGCCTTTATCATCCATGGTTCAAAATTCATGTCTCCTACCATGTAGTAATGAAGAACTGGTGTCTGTAGAAGCTTTTATAGAGGTGTTTCTAGCCATTATTGTTCAGCTAAACCAAAGAAGAGGCTGGAAGTACAATCCCGACCTCTTGATGTACAAGATGGAGGTTTCCAAAGAGGTAAGAAAGCATTTACTGTACATCTACCTGACTTGTTTGGTCTCTCTCCCTTGATTTTTAAGACAATTTGACTTGCATTCTTATCATGGTGTATTAAACTTTGCTCATAAAATATAGATTACTATGCTATTCCATGTATTTTGAGTATTAAATCTTGTAGAAGCTTGGCAGGCATTATATATAGGCTATGACAAGAGAGTATATAGTTTACTGATGATAGTTTTTCAGGTTAGTTTAAAAAGTATATATTTTACGAATGATAATTTTTACAATGATTAGGGAGTTTTTTATATTTTTTATAATCTCAGAGATTTCCATTTGCAGCTTTTATGTTTATTGACTTTCCCTTTTCTCTTTCCAACATAGCAGAGTGTGCCAGTTCCAATAGAGAAGGTACGTCGCCAGGTGCTTTGTTGTGGTTACGGTCACACTGCTGTGGTCATTAGTGGTGCTGTCTACACTTGGGGTATCCCTGATTATGGTGTCTTGGGACATGGGCCCAGAACTACAACTAATCACAAACTCTTCTCTGGTCTCACTGTTTATCTGCCAGAAGATCAGGAGGTTAGTTTAAATTTATGTCACATCACTACTAATGAATCTAGTGTTTGGACTTGTGTGCAATTGTGTCAGTCTGTCAGCTTGTTCTGTTGATCATAAGTTTAGTTCTTTTTTACCCTTACTCACCAAACTTGGAAGGAAGCTTCCGATATGGAAAAGAAAACACACATTGATTTTGTGGTTAAAAAGGTTAAAGTTCAAGGCTGCTGGACCATAATTTTATATCTGTGTAGCCCTCATTTACCAAACTTAGAAGCTCCTTGTCACGAACAAGAAGACACCCAATGAGTTTAGGGAACTATAGATAACTAAAAGTACTTTTATTGACTCACATTGCTGCAAGTGACTCACTGGTGGTTGTATTGACACCAAATGAATCATAATGATGCCAAGTGAGTCACAAGTGCTCCTGATGATACAAAGTGACTCACAGATACTACTCATAATGATTGTGAATGTATCACAGGTGCTGAAAATAACACCAAGAGTTCATAATGGTGCCAAGTGACTCACAGGTGCTCCTAATGACCCAAAGTAAAATCGGTCAAAAAACGATCTTTACAAAATTGTGTCAGACAATATGACGCAAAGGACGAAGGATTTTGACAACCCTACCGAGACAACAGGGTCCCAGTGTTCATTTTGAAATACATCAACACTCTCCAGTAAAGATAGATTTTTGAGTGACCATACACCATACTTGCTCATAATGACCTCAGGTGATTCATAGGTGAACAAGATGACCCCAAATTGGTGAGTATGCCATGTCACTGCTCTAGTTCTTAATGTCCAGCTAGTAACTTTAGGTCTGTTATATTTGCCAAACTTGGACAGATTTTTATGAAGAAAGGGAAGACAACATTTTCTTTAGGCAAATTGGCATACTGTTTTCTAATCAGTTTTTTAATTATTCCTCATTCTTAATTATTTTCATGTGTGTTCCATTTTATTAGCTTTTCTTATCTTGAGTAAAGAATAGCTTTCATATTAATCTCTCGGACAGAGTATTTATCTCATAATATTTGTGTAGTTAATTTATACCTTTTAGAAATACTTTATCTTTTTTTTTCAGCTTCCTAAATCTCACTGATACACTGCATTCAAAAGTTACATGATTAAGCCCTTTCAGTAAGACGACACATTTAATAGTTCCTTAATTTCCCTATTTTATTTTATTTTATTTCTGTGCAGTCCACCATCAATGGCACCATCCCACATGTGATGGGAGGCTCCAGCCCTCTTGCTCCACTTATGAATGGAAAGGTTACATCCTCCCTTGTGTGTGACGGCTCAGAACCCCGACTTGTGTCGTACTTTGGCCAGATGCGAGCACTGTGTATAGCTGGAGGGAAAAACCATATGCTAGCAGTAACAGATAATGGGGTATGTACTTTTATATCTGTCAGTCACTTATACTGTATTAAGAATGCCATAACCAAAGGTCTTTCCAGTATATAGTTTAATATGTATGTGTGTGTTTGTGATGGGTGCATCTGGGGAGAGAGGCAGGAAAAAAACATTTTTACTCAATAAAAAGAAGAAAGCTCAGTTATTTTGTCATCTAGTGTTGAGTGAGACAACTTCCACATTGCCTCAGCACTTCATGTCCTCTTCATTACTGCACACTCATACACTACATTTAACTTTTACTGTTACCATCATCAATGCATCTGCCATCTCTGCCATGTGTTAAAGAAGGAATCTCATGTTGACTGTATTGTAGTCAAGCTGGTTGTCAAGACCATCTAATAAAATAATCTTTCACTTTTATACTCTCCTTGTCTCCACTTTGTGTCTTGTTTGCAATCTTGTGTCATTCTCCTGGCATACTTAATTTCTGTCATACATCAGAAGCTGTAGAAAATTTTTTGTGAAGTAATGCACAATTTGAAACAGTTATAAATATTTCTCTACTTGTGTACCAAGTGCATGGTCTATGGAATTTTGAAATAGATTTTCTAATCTTATAATTTTTTTTTATAAAATAATAAAATATTCAATAAGGAAAGTAATTTGTATTTATGTAGTTTATTATATTATATTTGGTAGTGTGGCACATATCATCTTTTTACTTGTTATATATTGTACATGATGGTGGTGTTACAGGTGTATGGCTGGGGTAGTAACAAATATGGACAAGTTGGCATAGGAGGAACAGGTAGATGTCCACGACCTACTCTACTAGCCAGCTTGGAAGGCAAAGGCATCATATCTGTTGCCTGTGGTCAGTTCCACTCTTTAGCAGTGAGTGAAGATGGAAAGTAAGTTTACTGGATGTTTACTTTTTAATACAGCACTGTATACACTACATAAAATGGTAATATTTTTGGTGTGAGTATATTATTTTGAAAAGTGGTAGATATGTCATAAATACCTCATCATTGGTTTTAATGTAAGTTTTATCTTCATTAATATGAAAGTCACATGTGAGTTTAGGTGCACTGTACTTCAATTTATGATAGGGTTGCATTCCTGGTAATCCTGTTGTAAATCAAGTAATCATAAATCAAATTGTATTTATTCATTGATTGTCATTATTAATTGGGAGAGACCTTCCTCGAAAAAAAAAAGACACTACTCCAACACATAATAAAATAACACTTTAGAGATATGTACAGTGCTGTAGTTGCATGTAAGCACTTGAAAATGGTTACCCATGCAAGCTTGGAAAATGTCTATTAAATGATGATACTGATGTAGGCAACAATTTAATTAAAAACAAATATTAACTTACTAACCAGATACAGTACCTTGGACATTGTGTGAGGTGGTGCTGCAGAGGTGTTTAGAAGGGTGAGGTAGGGGAATCTCCGTCCCCCTGTGGTTCATCTTCATCTTCCTTAGGAAGTGTTACCACTGGAGTACTGCAGTCATATGTTAATTGATGTGCTCCTCTTTATGTACAGCTGCTTGCTTCCATGGCATGATGTAGCCAATCAGAATGCTTGAAACATAATATTATGTAATATTGATCTTCTTTAGATATAAATTACATGGTTTCCATCTAAAAAAAAAATATTTATATAGTGTATACTGTAATACAGAAGTATTTTAAATAGAAATAGAGGTGTAAATTATATACTATAAGAAAATAGTAAATAGTTATTGCAAATCAAGGTATACCTGTGCTAGAATATTTTACATGTTTCTTGTTCCAGGTTGTACACATGGGGATGGGGCGTACATGGGCAGCTGGGCAATAGTAATGTGGAAGATTGTCTCACTCCCACACCAGTTCAGAGGCTTGCCAGAAAGGTAAGTTTTTACAGCAGTATATGTTTTTGGAATGATATTAGAAAAGTTCACCATTTTAGCTTGAAAAATATAGAAAAAAGAAGACAGAATTTATATTTATTACAGTTTACTCTCTTCACTTATAAGAGAAATCCTGAATACCGTGTGGTTGTTGTTAGAAATGAGAGTTCCTTCATTGATCCCTCAGTCCAGATCATAAGAAAAAGAAGTTTATTGATACATTAATAATTCAGTGTAGGAACTGATGTTTGTTATTGCTGGAAAAAAATTAAGTAAGGGGAAATACTGTACCAGATATGTACCAGTGCAAGAACCCTTTGAAGTCTTGACTATTTCTCTTTGCAGTTGATGGCTCCTCAATTATTTAAACATTTCAAAGAATAAGTAAGACGTTTACATGTTCTGTGAAGTAATGATTTTAAATCATCACTTTTAAAGTTGGATATGAAAGATGAAAAATTGTATTTACCCTATGCCCAGATTTGGTCAGTGGACAGTCATCACCCATGCCATGTGTCTCTAGTAATGACCCCAAATTTGTCAAGTTGTCAAGTCACATAATTTTTACTGGATTGATTTGAAATTTGACAGGATTATTCCTTACTGCTCAGATTTATTTTTTTTAGGGTTAAAATTTGTGGTCACTGGTCACTGTGGTCCCATTACTCTTTGCTTTGTTATTTTTAAGGGTGTGGTGCTATCATGGACTGAGAGGATAACAAGTATTTTGTGTGTGTAAGATTGCTCATGGTTTAATTAAATTTAGACATGACATAATGTATATCTGGGAAAATATTGTTCTGTCATATATGTCATATAGCATTATTGTTAATTTCCTTATTATTCACCATATCAATTCTCTTATTTATCATAATACAGTTTGTTATTCATTTTTTTTTTAGAACAAAATTAATTAGTTTTTTTTATCTTTCCAGCATATTGTGTTAGCAGACGGTGGGTATGCTCATAGTGTGGCCATGTCCTCAGATGGCAATGTATATGCCTGGGGGTGTGGCACATATGGACAGATAGGTAACGGCGGCATTGTGAAGGTGACGAGGCCGGAGAGAGTACCATTGCCTGGTCCTGCGACACATCTGGCTTCGGGCTACTTTCAGAATGTAAGGAAACAACCTATAACTTTGTGTATATGACTTTTTTTTTTTACTCCTGCAAGGCATATCTCATTATATTACAGGGCTACTGGAACACACACACACACACACACACACACACACACACACACACACACACACACACACACACACACACACACACACACACACACACACACACACACACACACACACACACACACACACACACACCACACACACACACACACACACACACACACACTCTCTCTCGTTTTTCTGTCTTTAGTTAACTTTTATTGTTGTAGGATCTTCATTCAACCACTTTCTCTACATCTATGGTCTCATATTGTTTTTCATACACCTGTTGCTTCTTAAATGATCCCCCCCCACCCCTATTGCTTCCAGTGCATCCGTCATCAGTTCTCGCACATAACACCCTTTAAGCAACCTTCCTATATGACCTCTGGGTAGAATAACATGTACTGTAGTTCATTAAGCCCAGAAATATGTCAGGGCATTCATGGGAGACTATATGATCTGAACCAAAGATCAAAGGTCGGTCATTAAATGAGTATGGAAGATTGACTGCTGTGTGAGTATTAAAAGATTGGTGGTGGTTAATAGCTATATGAAAGGGGAAGATTTTTTTTTTCTACCACTTATCAGCTTACTACTAGCCATTTGAGACCGGGAAATCTGTGATGTTTGGTAGGGTCATACTGGATAACACCCTTCTCATGTTATTGATTTTTATTGAATGTTATGTGAAGAATTGATAGATGTGTAAGGATAGATAGTAGCATGAGGATTGGTTGGTGTATGACAATTGGTTAGATTACTGGTGTATGGTAAATGATTGGTGTGTGCAGATTAAAGATTGTCTGTATAGTCTTATTTTGTTTTGATGTACAGAGATTATAGATTGTTTTGTATTGGAGATGGTCTCAATACCTACTATGTGTGATGAACCATTTCAAAGGATTTAAACCCTTTTTACAGAATATTCTGATAATTCCTGAGAACATTGGACAGTATTGCTGTATTAATGTCATATTCAGCTTTTGCTTGGTAATGAAGTGGTTGAGCTTTGTGCAAAACTATTTCAGCATTAATTGGGGATTAGTGTAATGATTTTTGTGCGTTTTAAGACAAGATGCACCTATACTGTACTCTTGCATTCGAGTTGAGAATAGAGTATGGATGGTGGGTGAATGATCCATCTTTGTGTAGTGTATAAGATACTTATTGTTCTTAGAGTACTTCAATATGTACGTGTATATGAAGGATGTTTCAGCCCTGTCCTCTCACATCTACATATTTACTGCGCTAGTTTTCCTTACTATTCCCCCTCACCTTTCTTTAATATTTCTATACCCTGTGATTCACTCCACAAAAGTGGGAGAGGAATAAATACAATAGAAACAAAATAGTTTCATTATCAAATACATAAAGAAATGTGGCTCCTGTTACTATTTTAAAGCCTGGTCTTAATTTTCCAGATTGCTGTAACTAAAAACCACAAAGTGTACATGTGGGGTAATAATCCTGCTTGTCTCCGAGTCCAAGCCCAACTTCAGAGGCGAGCAAGGACAACTCAGCAAGCAGCAGAGGGGATGAGAAAGAATAATGGGGGTGATAGACAGACTGTTGAAACTAGAAATGAAAGTGCAGATATTGGAGTTGAAGTTGAGAAAGAGGTAGAGGGTAGTGAAGAAGCGTGTGTAACTCTTAATGAGAAAAAGAGTGATGTTAATACCAATGGTGCTAATGATAATTATTCTGAGCCAGTAAATACTGTTGATGGCAATGAACATCTCTGTGATGAAGTGCCGATAAGTACAACCGTAGATGATAGTGAAGACACAATTACAACACTGCCTGAAGATGATGAGGACAGTGACAGTACTGATGGTGCCAAGTCTTTCGTTATATCTCCTGAACCATCGCCGGAAAAATTAACAGAGAATGGTGAGGGGAAGAGTGATACAAGTGACGATGTGCCCGAGAGCAAAGCCATGGACTGTGCCAACAGTTCCAGCACAAATCATAGCTCAAATCCTCATGCATCATGTAGCAAGGAGGATTCTTCTACTAGCAACAACTCAAAAAGTGAAGAAAGTAAGTTAGTCTAGTATATATTGATTCATTCATGACAAGTTTCTCCACAACAGGTTCCTGGAGGGACAGTTAATTTGTACATGTGCAGGAAGGTACAAGAAATGGCTTTGTATAGTTGATAATCAACAGGAGAAAAAAATGGCTGTGCATGCTGCCAGGTATTCCAGAAGTTCACCACACTTTTAGTTACACTCTGGTACATTCCATACAACTCTAGACTTAGATTTAAACAAATTAAATTTAAGTCATTGTTTATTACTTTATGAGAAAAATTTATAAAGTTTTATTTCCAATTATGGTTGTACAGTGATGCACTGTAAGACACTCGCCAAATTTCGTGTGAATGCCCAGCTATTGTCAACTTCCTGAGAAAAAGCACATGGTTGAAACAAATGCAGCTGCTGGTGAGCCTCCATGGCTTAAGACCACATTTTTTTTTTTTGCACTTGCTTTGGTTTCTTCTGGTCCACATATTAGCTCTATGCAGCCCGGCCAATTTTGCAAAATGTACTTAAGGCTAATGATTAACTTGGGATGTAAGGACCTGGGAGAAAAATTTTTTAGTGCCAAATCTAGTAGAATTGTAGTACTGCATTGTAACTGGCTTCAGTTAAAGTTCAAGCTGTCATTCTATTCCCCACCCATAAGAAGGTAGATTGCCATGCAGATGCAACCCTTTATTTAAATATCTAGTGTCCAGGATGGGAAGATCCTCTGACCTTCCTGAGTCAAGTACAGTGTTGGGTTTTAAGGGTTGTGACTCCATTTCTTTGGGCAGGATTGACTCTTTATTTTTGGATACTGTAGTTGCCAGTTGGGCCCAGTTTCGATTTTCATTGCAGATTTGTCCTATTGTCTTGTGCTTTTGAGTACTGTGGGTGTTTATGAGAAACAGCAAACTTAAATAAACAAGAAAACAAAAAGCTGACCCTGACTATCAGATAGCTATCATGAATTAAAGAAAGAATTAGGCTATTCTGCTTTGAACAATTAAATTACTAACCCAGTGAAAACTATTATGTCCTTTTTGACGAGAAATGGGGTGACTTCGGACAGTGTTTAAGGTTTTTTCTAAGCTGCAGTTTAAGTTTGAAGGCTAAAAGCATATGTTAAGTATGTTAATAGGCTATCCATTTGTGTCAGCAGAAATTCAACAAACGTCGTACTTTTTTTGTGAAGAGAAGAATTATAGGTGTCTGAAGTCACCCCAGAGATGGGGTGACCTTGGACGGTTCTAGGGTGACTTTGGACATCATGTTAATTCAATGGCTGTACAGGTAAACCTTGATAAATGATGGGGTTAGGATCCAGAAAACCCATCGTTAAGTGAATTAATGTAGATTGGGAGCATTGTAGGTGTTCGTGGTATAATGTTGTCTAGCACTCAGGATGGATGGAAACTCTAAGGTGGTTTTCTTGCATAATATAAGTTATATGATTTACAGTCTGGTGCTTGAGGTGCCGTGTGGTGAGGAGCTGCTCAGTAGAGACGTTCGGTGAGTAGCGTGTTGAAGGAGGTAGATGTGCAGGAGCTTCGTTAGAGAAGATGTTGCCTGTTGCTGGCCTCCTGGTTGAATGAATGCTGACAGCGTGGAGCTTGCTGGAGGAGGTGTTGCTTGTTCAAGAAGAGAGACCAGAATGAGAAAGCTGGTTGGTGAGGAAGCTCAGAGAAGGACAGCTGGTGGGTCGCCATTCTCGCTGGCGGGAGCGAGGACCGCCAGGCAGGCGAGGAGAAGCGAGGGCTGCCAGGCAGCGGTGGAGGAGGAGGTGTTGCTTGTTCAAGAAGATGGTCAGAATGAATCTCACTGGAGAGACAGAGCTTATATACCCAGCAGCCGCGAGTCCTCGATGAGTCATGTTGGGAAAACCCGAGAAAGTCGCCGGTCTTGGTTCCGTTGCTAGGTAATGGTAACATCTGGTGTCGCCGCTCGCTTGGTTGCTAGGATACGGCGGCGCATCGGAATGCGGATACGCAGTTGTAGGGGAGATGTCCACTACAATACTCCCCCTTCCCTCCAGGCGGTGTAGGAGACTTGTTGTCTGTAGAGTTGCTTAGCACATGTGAGGCAGACCGGGCGGTGCATGCCTCATGTGAGACAATGGCGATGGCGTGAATGAGCCGATCGCTGAAATACAACTGTCTAGATACACACTATCTGTGGGAGAAGGGAGACAAAGGGTGTGTGGGGGCGATGAATGTTGTGCTTCCCTCACGACAGGTACAGGGTCATCAGATGCGCCTGCTGGGGTGTGTGGGCCTGGGTCAGGAGCAGGGGCTGCGTCAGCAGAAGCAGATTAGGGCTCGTGACAGCAGCTGGGTCCACGACAGCAGAAGGGTGCAGGACATTAGCAGGGAGTACCTGAGGGAGAAAAGAGGGGTGTGTGTGTGGGTCCGCACTCAGGAACAGAGGCCGCGTCGGGCGGCAGGGGTTACTGCTGGGCCGGGGTCGACGTCTGAGGCAGGACGGGTGTTCTGGGGTCGGTAGGATGTGGTGCTTGGGGCAGGAAGAGGAGCCGGTGTCTGCTTGAAGACTGGGAGCGTGATCAGATTCTCCTCCATCCTGTGTGAGTGCTTATCTCCGGGAGTCACCATTTGTAGGTGTTCGTGGTATAATGTTGTCTTGCACTCAGGATGGATAGAAACTCTAAGGTGGTTTTCTTGTATAATATAAGTTATATGATTTACAGTCTGGTACTGGAGGTGCCGTGTGGTGAGGAGCTGCTCAGTAGAGACGTTCGGTGAGTAGCGTGTTGAAGGAGGTAGATGTGCAGGAGCTTCGTTAGAGAAGATGTTGCCTGTTGCTGGCCTCCTGGTTGAATGAATGCTGACAGCGTGGAGCTTGCTGGAGGAGGTGTTGCTTGTTCAAGAAGAGAGACCAGAATGAGAAAGCTGGTTGGTGAGGAAGCTCAGAGAAGGACAGCTGGTGGGTCGCCATGCTCGCTGGCGGGAGCGAGGACCGCCAGGCAGGCGAGGAGAAGCGAGGGCTGCCAGGCAGCGGCGGAGGAGGAGGTGTTGCTTGTTCAAGAAGATGGTCAGAATGAATCTCACTGGAGAGACAGAGCTTATATACCCAGCAGCCGCGAGTCCTCTATGAGTCATGTTGGGAAAACCCGAGAAAGTCGCCGGTCTTGGTTCCATTGCTAGGTAATGATAACATCTGGTGTCGCCGCTCGCTTGGTTGCTAGGATACGGCGGCGCATCGGAATGCGGATACGCAGTTGTAGGGGAGACGTCCACTACAGCATTATAACATGGGGTTCGGTGGGATACGTTTCCAGCCAGTCCCCAAACACACATGTATCACTAACAAAAAAAAATCCTGCACTTCTAAAATTAATAGAAAAAATTAAACAACATTCACCACTTCCTGAAGAATAAGCCGGGTCATCATCACATGTCCCCTTTGAGGCTATGGGGACTCTTGTAGGTGGAGTGGAGACGTCACTCTGACTCCCACACAGCTTCTGGGGAGTCTCATGCAGTTTCACACTGTCTAGCTTCACCTCAGAGACACGATTGTCTTCGACGCCTTGGTCTTCCCAGACATTTTCAAAGTTCCACTGCACACCTCATGTTCACAAAAAACAGAGCGAATTATGATCACAAAATCTGGTATCGGCCTATGCTGCTCACTTCATTTTCACAACAACAAAGGTGAACCACCTTACAGTCACAAAAACACAGAAAATAACACTTCACAGTCACCATAACATAGTTCAATTTAAACATTAGTGCTGTCCTCTCACTATAAGGAAAAAATATTGATGAAAAGTACAATGTACGATGCTGACCGATAATCAGGAAGCAATGCAATGATGGGTTTATGATCAACAAAGAACAAAGCTGTAGTGCGCAGATTGGCCGTGTGGCAGCACGTGGGTAGGCTAACACGTGACTGTACATAGAAAAATATAATTTGCATTGATGGAATCCTTGCAGAACTGTGATTAATTTGAGTACTGTATATACAACCCATAATTTGCATTAGAGATAAAAAAAAATTCTAACCAATGGATATTTGATGGATATCGTTAAAGCAGTTTTTGTTATTGTATATAGCAAAATGGTCTTTATTCATGACCATTGGAAAGCAGAATATCGCTAAACGAGACATCATTTATCGAGGTGTACCTGTTAAGAGCCTGGCCGGATAAAATTGGGCAGAAATCTGCAACAACAAAATTACATATACAATATAGGTCAAAAAAGGAAGAAGAAACAAGACATGAGAAAACTTAACAAGAAAATTGTATTATGTGAAAATAACATGCTTATTGGTTCTTATAGAGGCTCATTTTTTAAGATATACATTGGGGGAAACAGCAAAACAAATTTAACCATGTTCTTGCATTACCCTCTGAGCTTTAGATTAGTTTTATCATTGTTTCACATCAGTACCATGCACAATGCCATTACTGTGTGGCATAAGTTTTATATCATGCGTTCATGCAAGTACAGGGTATGTGAATAATATTTGGAATGTGCCTCCCAAGTCATTTCTGAGCTGTCCGAAGTCACACCAAATCGAAGACAATTTTCACATACAGCACCCCCATTCAAGTCACATTCTCGGGTATACTATAGGATACAGTGGTCCCTCGGTTAACGAGCGCCTCGGTTAACGAGATTTCGGTTAACGATTTACCTTCCATAAGATTCTTAACTTCGGTTAACAAGCAATCCCTCGATTAACGAGTTTTTTACGAGCCGACTTCAACATGTTTTTGCTTGCATTTGGCGGTCCACCAGCTGTAGTATTAGTCCGCCAATACAGTAATCAGTTTTAGGGCTTAAATTCCTTACTATTTTAGTAAATATCAAGAAGTTTATACTATTCAATAATTTTAAAAGTTTAATATTAACTTTTTTAGTCATTTTAACAATTATTGAACATAATTGAAGGTAAAGAAACTAGTTTCTGGCGTGCCATCCAGCCTGTTAACACACCAGACAGGCGTTAGTCTCTCTGTTTTCAGTGGAGGTAACATCTTGCTTGAGA